TTTTGATAGACAGGATTTATTTTGATAGACAGGATTTATTTTGATAGACAGGATTTATTTTGATAGACAGGCGTTATTTAGATACAGGATTTATTTTTATACGACAGGATTTATTTTGATACGACAGGATTTATTTTGATAGACAGGATTTATTTTGATAGACAGGATTTATTTTGATAGACTTATTTATTTTGATAGACAGGATTTATTTTGATAGACAGGCGTTATTTTGATTGACAGGCGTTATTTAGATACAGGATTTTTTGATAGACAGGATATATTTTGATAGACAGGATTTATTTTGATAGACTTATTTATTTTGATAGACAGGATTTATTTTGATAGACAGGCGTTATTTTGATAGACAGGCGTTATTTAGATACAGGATTTTTTGATAGACAGGATATATTTTGATAGACAGGATTTATTTTGATAGACAGGATTTATTTTGATAGACAGGATTTATTTTGATAGACAGGATTTATTTTGATAGACAGGATTTATTTTGATAGACAGGATTTATTTTGATAGAAAGGCGTTATTTAGATACAGGATTTTTTGATAGACCGGATTTATTAGGATTTATTTTGATAGACCGGATTTATTTTGATAGACAGGATTTATTTTGATAGACAGGATTTATTTTGATAGACAGGATTTATTTTGATAGACATGACTTATTTTAAAAGCTTATTTTGATTGACAGGATGTTACTTTGGTAGACATTATTTATTTTGATAGATTATCTTGATAGCTTGTATAAATTTTGGTAGGTTATTTTGATAGATAGGACTTATTTTGATAGACAGGATTTATTTTGATTGACAGGATTTACTTTGGTAGACATTATTTATTTTGATAGATTATCTTGATAGCTTGTATAAATTTTGGTAGGTTATTTTGATAGACAGGACTTATTTTGATAGACAGGATTTATTTTGATTGACAGGATTTACTTTGGTGGACATTATTTATTTTGATAGATTATCTTGATAGCTAGTATAAATTTTGGTAGGTTATTTTGATAGACAGGACTTATTTTCATTAACAAAATTTTTTTATTAGAAATATACTTGATACTAAATCTGATTAGTATGAAGTTTAAAACCAAGCATTATTGATTGTAATCTTATATTCTGATGACGAATTAATATTAAATCGGCTGAATCAGAGCTAAGGAATGCTTTCTTACTAATAAATTTTATTATTGTTAAGTACAAATATTGTCCTGGATCAGATTACGCAAATACAAACAAAGATTTCCATCTAATCAATAAAATGTGTTTGCCAAGCTTAGTTTTGGAAAACTGATTAGGATATATTTCATTATTCGGATTCACCCTGATAAAAAAAAACATTTCTTCAAGATTTTCTAAATAAAATTTTCAACATTCATCCCCTTACTTTTGCACTGAGCCTTAATGAACCATTCAGGGATTGGGAAGTTTTTAATTACCGCTCATTAGGTAACATTTGAAAATGGTGTTTTGAGATCTGAGCAATAGTAAATTTTTAACTGGTTTTTGTTGGTACTCTGCCACTTATATTTTTTTTTGTGGATATGTGGATCCGGATACAGTCCTGGAAGCCAAAATATAGCGGATCAGGATACAGATCCAGGAAACCAAAATATAGCGGATCCGGATACAGATCCAGGAAACCAAAATATAGCGGATCCGGATACAGATCCAGGAAACCAAAATATAGCGGATCCGGATACAGATCCAGGAAACCAAAATATAGCGGATCCGGATACAGATCCAGGAAGCCAAATATAGAGGATCCGGATACAGATCCAGGAAACCAAAATATAGCGGATCCGGATACAGATCCTGGAAACCAAAATATAGCGGATCCGGATACAGATCCAGGAAACCAAAATATAGCGGATCCGGATAAAGATAAATAAAAATGTATTTATGTATGAATAATAATGTTTAGATATGCTCGACAACAAACCGGTATCTCGGGATCAGAATCAAGGCTCGAGGGCTGGCAGTGTAGTTCGTTCCAATTCTCTCAGGTTTAGTTTTATATCTTTAATCTCTTTTCAAGCTTTTCAGACAAATTAAGATTAATTTAACATTTAAAAAAATTGAATTCTTAGAGGAGGGAAACATATTTACTTATCTGCTTGATTTGCATTATTATATAGGTTGAAATCAATTATTATTGTTTTACCTTCTTTACCGGGTCAATAAACCCTTTTTATGGAGAAAGTTTTGTTTAAGGCGATAACTTCTGAAAATTTAGTTTTTAATGCATCAGGAACTAAAAGGACTGAAAATGTTATAATTTCAAGTAACACATTTATTTAACAGATTTCACTGCGGTACACTTTAACCCTTTGTTTTATCAAGAATTATCGAGGAATCTTTAGTTTTCTTATATAAAATGATTATTTTCAATGTGTGGTTTCTTTAAAATTACTTACGGGTTTAAAGAAGCCATGATAATAGATGTAAATTGTCCGAATTTTTCGAAACAGAAAAATGACGACATTTTTCTCAAATTACTTTTTGATTGATAAAAGGGTGCCGATGTGAATTGGAAATGTAACTACAAATTGAATATAGCTGTAGTAGTCCTTTTAATTAAATATTTTTTAGATCCTCGAGTCCACCAAGGTATCAGAGGAAAGAGGTGAACAACATGCCCACCCTGATCGAGCAGAACGGTCACGAGGACAGTTTCGAGGAACATCCTGGTCATCAGGGGTACCAAGGACACCACCATGCCGGACACCAGTATGGATATCAGGAGCAGAGATCTCCCTACGGACATCCTGCCAGTTCAGCACCTTCTGGTCCTCAGTATGGTTATCAAGGTGTTCCTCAGGGATACCAACCAGGCCCCCCTCTTCCTCCCCTCAACCGTCCCAACTCTGTTGTACAACAGCGCTACCCAAACCAAACCCATGGAGCTTATATACCCCAGGGACCTGTCTCTAACCGGTCCGCCGGCTCCGGTTCAGATACTTCTAGCCAGGGGCAGATACGAGGAAAAGTTGGACCTCCTCCGCCTTTAACAAAACCCTCCGTCGATCCATACCGTCCACAGCAAGATCTTCGCCCTGCCTCTACAGTTCCGGATTCGGCTCCCGCCGGCGGAATACCTGGGTATGATCCTGCAGCGGTGAGAGCGGCAAATATGGCGAGGGCGGAAGCTTTGGCTGCGCATCAGAGAGAAGAAGCGGCGGCGGTTCAACGGGAAGAAATGATGATAAGAATGCAACAAATGGCAATGGATACAAGGTCCCAGCAAATGGATCCAAGGTCCCAGCAAATGGATCCAAGGTCCCAGCAAATGGACCCCAGGTCCCAACAAATAGACCCAAGATTAGGACCCGGAATGGATCCAAGAATGATCCCTCACGGTATGGATCCCAGAATGAACCAACCACGTATCCCTCCGCCTCAAAACAGACCTCCGCCTCCCCAACAGTCTCCATATCAACAACAACAACCTCCTCCGCCCCATATTCAACAACAATTCCGGCAACAACAAGGATACTTTGACCAGCATCAAGAAGAATTAAGGATCCAACCCAAACCTGGCAAACCATCTAACGGAAATTACCTTCCCCCCAGATCCCAGCCTGATCAGCCCCTCCCCCCTCCCACTCATCCTAAACCAAACCAAACCTATTCCTCTGAGCCACTTCCTCCACCTCCCGCCCCGCCCCCAAAAATATCCCCGCCGAAACCGTCGATATCTCCTGAATCTGTTTCTCCTCCCCCGCCGCTTGAACACCAAGGACAACCCACTTCATTATCCCATGAACAGTTTAGAGCTGCACTTCAGATGGTGGTTTCTGCTGGAGATCCAAGGTATATTTCACCAAACTTTTATGCATTGTCATTGTCTTTTTGTTTTATTTTTAGTTTAAGAGACTTGAGACACTTTTAGAGACTTAAAATACTTTTAGAGACTTGAGATATTTTTAGAGACTTGAGACACTTTTAGAGCCTTGAGAGACTTTTAGAGACTTGGGACACTTTTAGAGACTTGAGACACTTTTAGAGACTTGAGATACTTTTAGAGACTTGAGATACTTTTAGAGACTTGAGACACTTTTAGAGACTTGAGACACTTTTAGAGAGTTGAGACACTTTTAGAAACTTGACACTTTTAGAGCCTTGAGATACTTTTAGAGACTTGAGATACTTTTAGAAACTTGAGATACTTTTAGAAACTTGAAATACTTTTAGAAACTTGAGATACTTTTAGAAACTTGAGATACTTTTAGAGACTTGAGATACTTTTAGAGACTTGAGATACTTTTAGAAACTTGAGATACTTTTAGAAACTTGAGATACTTTTAGAAACTTGAGACACTTTTAGAGACTTTAGATACTTTTAGAGACTAAGATTAGTTTCAGGGACTTGAAATTCTTTAAGAAACTTGGATATTTTCAGAGACTTGAAATAAGATCCTTTAAGCGATTTGAGATACTTAAGAAATAAGATAAATTTAGAGAAATGAGATTCATTAAGAGAATTTAGATACACTTTGGGAAGTGAGATACACTTTGGGAAGTGAGATACTTTGAGAGACTGAAGATACTTTAAGAGACTTGGAGAGACTAGAGATACTTTGAGAGACTAAATATTTTAGAAGAAACTAGATATTTTGAGGGACTAGAGATACTTTAAGATACTTTAAGATACTTAAGATAGAATAAGATTGTGATAGAATAATATAGAATGATATAGAATAGGATAGGTTAGGATAGAATAAGATAGAATAAGATAAAATAAGATAGAATAAGATAGAATAAGATAGAATAAGATAGAATAAGATAGAATAAGATAGAATAAGATAGAATAAGATAGAATAAGATAGAATAAGACAGAATAAGATACAATAAGAAAGCACTAAGATGCAATAAGATGCAATAAGATGCAATAAGATGCAATAAGATGCAATGAGATGCAATGAGATGCAATAAGATACAATAAGATACAATAAGATAGAATAAGATAGAATACGATAGAATACAATAGAATATGATAGAATATGATAGAATACGATAGAATACGATAGAATACGATAGAATACGATAGAATACGATAGAATACGATAGAATACGATAGAATACGATAGAATACGATAGAATAAGAAAGAATAAGATAGAATACGTTATTTATTTTCAGGGAGAATCTCGAGAACTTTATAAAGATTGGTGAAGGATCAACTGGAATAGTTTGTATAGCTACAGATACAGATACCTTGCATCAGGTCAATCAATCAATCAATCAATCAATCAATCAATCAATCAGCAAACTGACAAAACTTATGAAAATGGTGAAAAAAAGTGCTCGAACATGGAACAGTGCAGGGTTTAATGATAATGATGTTAATAATAATAATAATGATGATAATAATGATAATAATGATAATAATGATAATAATGATAATAATGATGATAATGATGATAATGATGATAATGATGATAATGATGATAATGCTGATAATGATGATAATGATGATAATGATGATAATGATGATAATAATAATGATAATGATAATGATAATATAATGATAATGATAATGATAATGATAATGATAATATCATCTAGGTTGCGGTTAAACGAATGGACTTAAGAAAACAGCAACGCAGAGAGCTTCTCTTTAACGAGGTATTTAGCAATTTTATCTTTATCTCAGCTGAGCTTGACTTTAAAGGGACTGTAAGCGTAATTTCAAGAGACCCTCCATGCGAAGAGGGCAACGCCCTATTTACAACGGTAACCTTTTAACCTTTGAATGTTCGTCGGGTAAAGAGAACTTTTTGTTTAAACATCTAAAAAACCACTGAATACAGCTGATGCGCTACTGGCTGAATCGGAAAATTTAGATTTCTAGGGGAAAATAGATTATTTTTGGCAAGTAGTATAAAAAGAAAGGGGGGGGGTAGTTGGTGTCACCCACTCTAAATATTTGAAAATAACCCCCCACCATTTTCCCCCTTCGTAATAAAATTATTGTAATTGTTGTTAAGGTGGTAATAATGCGTGACTACCACCACCCGAACATTGTCGAGATGTACGACAGTTATCTTGTGGAAGACGAACTCTGGGTCGTCATGGAGTACTTAGAGGGAGGAGCGCTTACAGATATAGTAACTAATGTTAGGTAAGATTTAGCATCCCACAGTCACGTTTTTATTTGTTGACAGAATTTTTTTTCTAAAATATTCTCAGCTGCTACAGAACATTAATTAAGCTATTAAAATATTCTCAGCTGCTACAGAACATTAATTAAGCTACTAACTGCTACAGAACATTAATTAAGCTACTAAAATATTCCGAGCTGCTACAGAACATTAATTAAGCTACTAAACTATTTCGAGCTGCTACAGAACATTAATTAAGCTACTAAAATATTCCGAGCTGCTACAGAACATTAATTAAGCTACTAAAATATTCTCAGCTGCTACAGAACATTAATTAAGCTACTAAAATATTTTGAGCTGCTACAGAACATTAATTAAGCTACTAAAATATTCTGAGCTGCTACAGAACATTAATTAAGCTACTAAAATGTTCTCAGCTGCTGCAGAACATTAAGTTACTAAAATATTCTGAGCTGCTACAGAACATTAATTAAGCCACTAAAATATTCTCAGCTGCTACAGAACATTAATAAAGCTACTAAAATATTCCGAGCTGCTACAGAACATTAATTAAGCTACTAAAATATTTTCAGCTGCTACAGAACATTAATTAAGCTACTAAAATATTCTCAGCTGCTACAGAACATTAATTAAGCTACTAAAATTGATTCCGTCTATGTAAGTTCAAGTGACCCTCGGATGCTACCTTTATCTGATAGTGAAATCTTGTCTTTTTTCTTCTGATGATTCCTCCATTGTTTCTGTAGCAGAAATGCGCACGTCACTTTGCATTAAAATGTCAAATGAAACTAATCATGGATATGTGATTCATACTTGTTTATGCAAAGCTATCAAGGGTACCGAGATGGATCAGACACGCTAAATCAACCATAATAAATATTTTTCTGTGAAACAAATTATTTTGAAGGATGTCCGAGGAACAAATTGCTACTGTAAGTAAAATGTGCCTGAAGGCTCTAGCCTATCTTCATTCTCAGGTGACCGGCATTTTATTCACTTAAGATTTTATTTGGGAAGATCTTTATCAGTTTTTCTTAAATATGTTTACTTTTATGTTAACTTTTATGAGAAATTGAAAAAAATATGAGTTTCTTGAATTATTTTTGTTATGGTAAAATTATTATTTGAAAGTAAGCATGAACTTTCAGTGTTTTTAGGTCAAGTTAATTTTGAATAAAATAATTAGGGATTCAATGCCACCTGAAATAACAATTTATAACACTGTTATTTTGATTCGCAGTGTTATAAAGTTTTTGGACAGAAATTTTCTCTTTATCGAGAAGGTTCAAGCCTTTTTAGATTATAATCTAAAAAGGCAAGAACCTTCGAATTATAGAGAAAATCCAAAAACTTTATAGCAAGTCGTGCCAAAATAATACGTTTATAGGTAGTATTATGAAACGTTTGTGTACTTTTCTTATTTTAATGGCTGTTTTTAGATCAAATAAGATTTGTAACAAAGAAGAATCAAAATATAAAGTTGATAACAATTTTATTTTCATTTCAATTGAACAAAATATTTGGGAAATATACTATATTTATCGGGACAAAATCCGAGAACATTACAGAAAAATGATTACTTTATACTAGCACGTTGCTTCATTATACAGCTAATTTAACTTTAGCACGATGATTACTTTATAGCACGTTCATTATGAAATTCACGATGAAGTGAGTAATAATGGTAAAGTACACTATAGTTTCATAAAATTTTAAAGAAAATAATTTTGGATTCAATGCCACCTGAGGCCGGATTTAAAGAATTTGAGCCGAAGTTTGAATTTAAGCCGCGACTTAAATTTTGTTGGTTCCACTCAATTTTGTAATACATTTTTCAAGATATAAGCCGGCGCTCAATTGAAACCAGTTTTTGGGGGATTTGAGACGCGGCTTAAATTCATTAAATTCGGACACTGTTCATATTATTTATGTGTAATGTCTAGGGTGTAATACATCGTGATATCAAGTCTGATTCTATTCTACTCTCAGCAGATGGAAATGTCAAGCTTTCAGATTTCGGCTTCTGTGCACAGGTAATATTCCCCCCTCGCTTACAGTTACTAATTTGCAACTTTTGAGACAATAATAATATAAATGTGAATACAAATATTGATTTTTTTTACTTTTTTAAGGTTTAATTTCCACGCCAAAATTTTATTTTTTGATTTAAATTTTCAATTTTTTAATTGGTAAATAATTCCTAAACTAGAGCAGTGCTCAAGCTAAACTGTAAACCCATGGTAAGCTAACATTTAGCACATACATGGTTTGGTATTAGCTTTGCTTCGGTTTTTGAGTTATTCAAAATTTTTTGTATAATTTGTTTTGTGTTTTGGTCACTTTCTAAGAAAAAATTAATATATTTCTGTTAAAGTCCTTAAAAAATATAATTTATATATTTCTATAAAAGTCCTTAAATAATATAATTTACATATTTCCGTAAAAGTCATATATTTCTGTAAAAGTCCATAAATAATATAATTTATATATTTCTGTAAAAGTCCTTAAATAATATAATTTATATATTTCTCTAAAAGTCCTTAAATAATATAATAATATATTTTTGTAAAATTCCTTAAATAATATAATTTACATATTTCTGTAAAATTCCTTAGATAATATAATTTATATATTTCTGTAAAAGTCCTTAAATAATATAATTCATATATCTCTAATTTACTTCAGGAACATTTTTTTAAATTCTAACTAAAAGTAAACATAAATTTGCTTCTTTAAAAAATATTCACAAATAGTAGCAGTTTACTAGAACTTTTGAAGTACAAAATGTCTTACAACTTTGTTTCTAGAATAGCTTTCAACATAATTTTTTCGGTTCTTAATCGGCCTATAATTCACTTATCTGCAACAAGAGTTTTAAGCTAATAATGATAGATTTCTGACCCAAATTACCCTTTATAAAATTGATATTGCTTTTTTCTATCATGATACCCTCTTCTTGGCCTAATTAATTATATATTTATATCTATAAGCAGTAAATGTACTTCTAAATCATTGACCCTCTTACAATCAAAAGTTTCCTTTATACTTATTCTATAATTTTTAGATAAACTTCTCTAAATATATTTACTAGGTTTCGTCTGAGTTGCCGAAACGTAAATCATTAGTTGGAACACCCTATTGGATGAGCCCTGAGGTTAGTAAAACTGGGGTGATATACTTTCAAGAATTAATTTTCTGTATAATTATAAACTAAAATAATTACTCAACACAGACTGATTCTTTGTATTTAAATTCACATTGTTCAACATCCAATTCATTCCGGATTCTTTTCTGAAGAAAAATAAATCAGAGTTGGGAACTTTTAAATGGTAGATATCAGGACTAATGCTTGATCCACTCTTTTTCTGAGTCCCCAGATTAAATAACGCTTGTTCTCCTCTTGTTATTAATCTCCAGATTAATTAACCGATCGGGATTAAGGATATCCCATTCTAACGTTTTCAGCTCCGGATGCTTTATTTGAATTTCTTCTCTTTTCGCAGACTTAATTTTTTGTTGAAACCTTTTTTTCATCCGTTTATACTAAAAGATGTGTGTTTTGAAGATGAAAAGTTATTTTTTGTGTCTAAACTTTGTTTGTTGTTTAATATTTTGCAATATTTTGGATCTGAATCCGAAACACTGGTTGCAAATTGAAATTTTGATTTCAAAAGATGTTTATTGTTTAGGTTATATCCCGGCTTCCGTATGGACCAGAAGTAGACATATGGTCCCTGGGTATAATGGTAATAGAGATGGTAGACGGGGAACCACCGTTCTTTAATGAACCCCCACTACAGGTAATAAAAGAGATGGTAGACGGGGAACCACCGTTTTTTAATGAATTGATTTACTCATAATTGAATTGATCGGTTGGTTGATTGATTCTAATTCCTCATGCATTGATTCATTTTTTGATAATTTTACTTATGCGTTGATAAATGACTTGATTGATTGATTGATTGATTGATTGATTGATTGATTGATTGATTGATTGATTGATTGATTGATTGACTGGGTCCCGTTTGCAGGCAATGCGGCGAATAAGAGATATGCCTCCACCCCGCTTGAAGAACCAGAAGGTCTCACCGCAGTTACAAGGTTACAAAATACTTTTAAGATGAACTCCGTGTTTCCGTTTGTTTTCATTGAAAAAAAAATGCTTGAACAATATGGATAAGAAACGCTGATAAATTAGGTTTTTTAATTTTACTTAATTTTAGAAATAATTTTGTCGGAACAAGACGAAAATCAGTTGTGTGATTAATTTAAAAGAAATTATTTCTTTGAAAATAGTTGATTGTTTTAAGAAAATATTTAAAAATATGTTAGTTTGATTAAGTTCTATTTTCACTAGACACTAAATATTCAAGTTATTCAAGTTATAATTAATTTGATATGTGATATTTGTTCTAAAAATTAAAAAAAAAATTATCTTATTTTTCTGTAGGATTTCTGTACAAGATGCTGGTCCGTGACCCTGCGCAACGGACCAGTGCTGTAGAACTTCTTCATCACCCCTTCCTGCGTCAAGCAGGTCCACCATCTTCCCTCGTTCCTCTTATGCGGCATTCACCAACCTGATATCTGTCAAACCTGATCAGGTTTCGGCACCCTGATCAGGCGAGGTTAAGGGCCGAAAGACAACTCGTATCCGGGCCGGTGCGGTCAACCAGGTGGGAGGGGTCAACCAGGGTCAAAAATGAAAATAAAATGGCGGAAAGATTGAATGATTCTCTCTACCAGAACATTGAGCAAATCAGTCGCAACGTGCCGAAAGATCCTCGCCAATATACTTTCGTCAATCGTCTGAAGCCTCTCACTCGACCTGACTTCAACTCGAATATATATCGTCCAAACGAGAATCTCTCCAGTATTGAATTGGGTCTATCTCAACATCTGATAAACAAGTCTCAAACAGTATCCGTAAATCCGCAATTTCAAGATAAAAAACCGCAATCAATCAATAGTATAAATCCGGCAAACTGCGAGAAAAATGTATGGTTTGGCTACTCCAGCACCCAGGAACCAAGAATACTCTATACAAGTGTGCTAAATCATGAATCAAGAATGCTCGATGGAAAGAAGTTAAAGCCCCAACAAGTGCTAGTCGAAAACAATAATATTCCGCCTTTAATAACTTTTAATCATTTAGGTGTTATTTAAAAAGTAATATTAACTGAACTTGTAATTTTATCTGTCCCCTAGCCACTGGAGTGAAATATCTTATAGTATCATTTTGTTCTTTGTATTATAATCAAAAAAGTATTTTTTACTGTAATAAGCCTTCCTGAAAATGTCGCAAAACAAACTTATTTTAACTGACTTATTCAATAGCTTTCAAACTGAATTTTTCTACAAAAATATATATATCATTATTAAAAATGTCACAAAAGAAACTTATTTTAAACTACTTATATTAAATACCTTTAATAATTGTAATCAATAGTTTTACTTGCATTGAATTTTTCTATGAAACTGATTGTCAAACATTATTAATCTTACATGTTCAAAAGAAAAGTACTAAGCATTTTGCTTCAAAATGCAATTTTTCCAACCCAACCCTGATCATGTCTTCAACAACTTGATAAAATTTCTGATTTTATTAAAATTTCTTGAATTTGGTTTTGTTGAGTTTAAATGGTTAAAATAACATTCCAAAATCCGGTTTTTTTTTGGATCAGTTGTATAAGTTCAATTTATTAGTAAACCAGTTTAGAAGATTATATATATTCAATTCTCATTAATAAGTACTATAATTATTTATAACTTTGCAATTAAGGCATATTTACTTTTTGAGCAATAAGTATATTAATACTAAAGCAATAATTATTTAGTACTTGAATTATGTCACAAAAATTAAATACTCGTATTGGAATTATTAGTGATCATTTGAAAATGGGACTATCAAATTATTTTTAATTAGTCCCTATATGACCGATTCTCTATGGTACCCTTTCAATCTTTCATCTGTGAAAAAGATCAACATATATCTTTCTTTTTCTCTCTGAAAATTAATAAATTATTATTTTGGTCCAGTAAAAGTAAATTGCAGTAGAGAATCGGAAATAAAATTTTGGACGACATCTTCTTTATTATTCAGAAAAATGCTTATTGGGTACTGTTGTGAATCAGGCATGTAACTCTTTTAAACAAAGGGTCATTAGAAATTACGCTGAAAGTTCTCTTCAGCAGAAATAAAATATGAATTTTCGGAATGTGATATGTATTCCATCCAATGTGGGTTGTTCTATGGTTCTTCTTGAAAACAGATTTAAGATGTTTTTACATTTTCCTGAACAATTCTTTGACTGTGCAGCTTTCTGTTAAATATGTATAATTTATAATATATTAGTTTGGTAGATAGAATAGATCTACTCAAATATACGTGTTAAAAGATTTATTTCTATATTAAACAATATGCCAAGTATTATTTCAACGTTCTTTTTTCAGAAATTAATATTGGCGAAGCTAAACAATGAATGGAACCCATAATTCCGGTTCAGGTGAGTAAACAGGGATATTTTTTTTTCATTATATACCCCCTCGACGAACAGATTTTTGAAGAAATTGACACTTACCTAAACAAGTTTATATACGGCTGCATAGGATGCATGTAAAGCATAGATGCATCCACTTAAAGAAAATATATACAAGGTTCCACAACGGACACGCAAATTTAAAGGGACTGTAAAGGAAAAATGAAAGGGGGTAAAGAATGAAACCGGAGAATCTCGGGAGCTGATTGAGACATGTAAGAGTTTTAGCTGATGTTCTTGGGTCGAGAAATTGATGTAAAACTGTGACAAAATTATACCAAAACGTATATATGTAAGATTTGGGTAAGATGCGTAATACTAAACAGATCATATTCAACAAATATGCAACCAATCTGAAAACGACGATATCCCAGAGGAGCTTGAGAAACTCAAGTGTGCTTAATGCACATATTATATGAATTTAATAATTTTTCAATTTTGATTTAAATTGATAATATTTTTTATACGTCCGGATCATGTCACCAGAACTTCAACCAAAGGCAATGCAGTATTATTGTCGCGTGCCTCCCGTCTGTATCACGTGATTGGTATACTTTACTGTCCTTGGAGGGAGTTGGTTATGTGATACGGACGTATATCTTACAGACATACGTTTTGGTATAATTTTGACACCGTTTTGTGTCAATTTCTTGAGACAGCAACATCAGATAGATGTCTTATATGTATCGTTTAACTCCTGAGATTCTCAGTTTTCAGTCTATACCTCCTTTCATTTTCCCTTCACAGTCCCTTTAAACCTAGAAACATTGGGGATTAATAGGCACCATGCTACGCAGGGCTAGGATTACGCCGGGTTAATTTTAAGTGGCGTTCAAGCACTGTTTGCGCGAGAAAATTAAAGAAAAAAATTCTATTCAACTTTTAGAGGACTGTTTGTGAAATTTCAAGGAACCTTCCAATCAATTTTGGCAATGTCCTGTTTTCAATGGTACTCATGAAACCTCTATCCAATCAATAATATATAAGATATTGCCTTTTTCCTAGGTTTAACAGTTTTAATTTTGGTAATTCCTAAATGTTTTACTGTAGTAGAATGCACAAGTCACTTTTGTTGAGAATACACACTTGAAAATAATCAGCTTTCAAAATTATAAACATTTAATTCTTACTTGCTCAAAGAAAGCTTTAAATGGTACCATTGTGAATCGGGCATTGCCATTTGCCAGCTTTGCGTGGAGGGTGATTTGAAATTACGCTTACAATCCCTCCAAGTCTTAAAGTAGGAGGTCCTAAAGGCTAATTAAATTTAATTTTACTGTTTAGAGGAGGTGTTTAATGTAACCAATCAAATTTCAACAGAAAGACCACAAGTAAGTAAGGCGATTTGAGAGTTTCGTCCCTGACTTAAGGGCTGGACAAGTTCAGCTTTTTTTTCAAACTATTTGTTAATATAGTTATATCGTTCAAAAACAACTTTTCATGAAGCCGTTCGACAAATCGTCTTATTCAAAGATGGCCATAACACGTGAATAACATCAAAACACAGAAGAAAAAAAAATTACGGCTAATAAAGAGAATAAATGAAAGTGTTTCAAAATAACGGCAACTTAGTTCTTTTCTTTTACTTAACATTTCATTAAACTTAAAGGAAATAAAGAAATTTTAAGAATGGCTATTTCCGTTCGATAACGGACTCTTCCGTACAATTTTTAAACGTTCTGTTCGTTAACGGAACGTTGCCCATCCTTACTCTAACTTACTGAATAATGGGATTGGGTACTCTTAATACAAGGCTGAAGCCCAAAGAAGTTACGACCGCTTGCCGCGTAAATCACAAGCCGGAGAGAGTCTGTACTAGACGCGGCGCTCGGCCCCCTAGCTCATGTTCTAGCCACAGTGCTCGGTCCAGGAAAGTGTCTAAACCTAACCTACCCCTAAAATATGTACTAATCTCTCTCTTTCTTGTATTTCAACGCGGCAATCGCGCGGATCCTTTAGGCAATTGCCAAAATATAATTAGCATTTCGAACCTTTTTTTAGGTGATACGAAAGGACAGAAATGCTCCTGCAAAACCTCTTTCTCCATATGCACTTTTTTTCAAGGAAACGCAGGTAATATATAAATATACAACCAGAGCTGGGATCTTTTGTGATAAATACCCGCAATTTCTCTGTTCTCTCATTGGTTGAAAGCGAAATTTCCTGGGTTTTGATTGGCTGTTCTTTTCCGCAGACGACACCTTCACGGGTTATAGAATAAAGATTAAATTAATCTCTAGATTAACAAAATATCGTGATCACTCATATCAAAGTTTGATCTCGCGATACCCAATACATAAAAGTTTTCCTTCAGGGTTGACAAGCCTCAATTAAATTTTTTTCAGCCAAAGCTTCTAAATTTAGTTTTATTTTGACGAAAAAAAAACCTTTAATTTTTCATGAGGTTGGCCTTGTTGCACATCATTGTGCATGTATTTCATTTTTTTAATGTTTTTTTATTTTAAAATTTTTATTTTTTATTAATTTGAAAAAGCTGTTATTAATTTATTATTTCTTGTAGGCAAGCATAAAGAGTGAACAGCCCGAAGCCACATTTGCCTCAGTTTCAGGGACAGATATGCCTGTATTGGGGTGTTTATTTTCAAAAATGCCGCGTAAATTCAAATATTTTTAATAAAATGCTTTTCTCTTCAAATTTTTAAAGTGAAACCTTCTAGGGGTGTGTAATGTGTATTTTTTGTAATCTCCCCCTCCCCCCTCAAGGCTTTTTTGATTTTCTACCCAAAATATGATTTAAAGATTTTATACTGCATTATAATCCTCAGAGGTATGTATTTTAATAACCATATTTTGCGCCGCATGGAATTTTTTTTCAGTTTTGATTTGTTTTTGTAAAGTTTTGTCGCGTAGCACGCGTAGCGCGAAATATTTTTAAGTACTTTTTTTAGGGGCATAATACATAATAATAAGAATTTAAACAACCCTGCTTTTTTGGATTAGTATCTATATATATATAAAGTTGTAATCTCTGTTTTTCTGTAATTGTTTGTTTGTCCGATCATAACTCATGAACCCCTGGACCGATTTGTCTAAAGTTTTGATTGTGGACTTTGGGAGGCCCACAGGTTTCAAGATTCTAAATTGAGTGAGTAGACTTTTAAAGCGAAAATTTAGTTTCCCGTTAAAATCGTTTAAGTCCGGGTAAACGGCGGGAGGAACTTTTAGTAACCTTGGCAGCGCTGGGTTCCCAAGCTAGTATTTAATATTATTATTAAACACCACAATTCCCCCATTAAAGAGTTACATGTCCGATTCACAACGTTGCCCTTAAAACCTTTATCTGAGTAACTTAGGGAAAGATACCTTTGAGATAAATTCTGTTAGTTTCTTATCTCTGATTGATTACTGCGCCAAGGTAACCGTTAGTGTAAACTTATCAATTTTCAGACAGAGAAACAAGGATATCCCTTTAGTTTTTGCTCAGACTCACATAGGTCTAAATGGTACTCTTGTGAATCAGACATTTGTTATGGAAGTTCACTTGAAATCTTGTAAACAGTCCCTTTAATATATTGGTTAACAGAACCCATTAAACCTGAAGATCTCTGATCTGAGCAGTATCTGTGTACAGAAATAGTTGACGCTATGTGGCAGGCTTTGGGTCAGGTTCAGAAACAGAAATATGAGTAAGCATTTTTAATTAGATTTTGGTGCAAATTCTCCTAATTAGAAAAAAGTTTTTTTTTGCAAATTGTTTTTAATTAAATCTGTGGTTATATTTAATGAATTGTAAGAAGTAGTTGAATTAGGTTTAGCTAGTTTAGCTACATTTTTAGTGGAATCTTGGTCAGACTTTAGAAGTGAAGCTTGTTTAATGTTTGACGACATCTGTAGTTTATTCTTGAGAAAAAGTTCAGCAGTTTCTCCTTATTCATTAATTCCGACCTCGAGGTGGTAGCTCATAACTCCATAACTCATTCCCTCACTTGCAAGTTGGAGGTTCAAAACTCTAAATCCAATAATATGAAAACCACAAACGATATAAAACAGTTTTAATATTTTTTTTTAATTAAATCTGTTGTTATATTTAATGAATTGTAAGAAGTAGTTATATTAGGTTTAGCTAGTTTAGCTACATTTTTAGTGGACTCTTGGTCAGACTTTAGAAGTGATGATTGTTTAATGTTTAACGACATCTATAGTCTATTCTTGGCAACACAAGAGAAATTGTTCAGCAACTTCTCCATATTCATTAATTCCGACCTCGAGATGGTAGCTCATAACTTCATAACTCACTCTCTCACTTGCAAGTTGGAGGTTTAAAAACTCTGAATCCAATAATATGAGAAACCACAAACGATATAAAACAGTTTTAGTAATTAAAAACATTGATATTAAATTAATTCGGTGGTAGGCGATAGTATCAATATAATGAAGACGACTTTCGATTTTAATTTTGATCTATATCAAGCTTTTAAACAAGATGTATATTGTATACACAAAAACATGGAAACAAAGAGAAGCTGTCGATTAGAACAGCTTCTCTTTTATTACTAGTAGACTTGGACTTCTAATAAAAGCTTGTTAACAATTAAAACTTAAATAAAAAGTCGTCTTCATTTTATTAAAATATAATCGCTAACACCGTATTTGACCATTGTAAATCTTTGCCATCTTTGCTATGAGGGTAACCTGATTTGACGCTTACAATCCTATGAAGTTAACAACACGCTGGATCTTTGAAAGATATTTTTACTTGTAGGGAGCAGAGTGTACGGGACAGGGAAAGGTTTGAACAGGAGATGATTGCGTACAGGTTTAGCTCCTTTAATACAATACGAGTTAATTTGTATTGAGGTGGATGATCTAGCGCTCATTCTTTATCTCATTCTCATCTAGCGCGCATTCTTTAAAATTCTGCTAGATCTGCTGTATACGTCTTACCAGCGAGGGGGGGGAGTCAGAATTTCTCAACGAGTAATCACCGCCACCCAAATGTGTTGTGCGGCAAGCGTGCTCCTCAATTGGTAATCTCCACCACCTCAATTAGTAATCAGCCAAAATAAGCGTAACATTAAATCGGTTATTTCTTAGAAATAAGACCATATTGACCTCTGTTATTGTGTACAAGATTGTTAAAGCTTTCTTTATTGCTCCTTAGTTTCGAAAATAAATCAATAAATATGCCACACTAAGTGCTAGAAATATATTACGTTTTTAGTTTCAAGTTTCGCTTTAAGAATGTTTGCGGCATTTTCCTCTGAATGTTGTTTTAAACTCCTTATATAGAGAGGAAACTTTAAACCCATTAAAAGTGGACTAAATACTTCATTTTCAGTAGGGGGTGGGATGAGACAATTTTTTCAAAATTTTATGCTCTTTCTATGCATATAATTAGTTTTGTTGTAGATGTTGAACTCGAGAAGGCGAATACAAAAATCTAAACACTGTAAAGGTTTTTTGAAAATATCTTTTAAATGGAGATGGATATTACTTAACGTGGGATGAGATAATTTTTAGTAAATTTCAAGTACTTTCTATGCATATAATTAGTTTTGTTGTAGATGTTGAACTCGAGTTGGCGAATACAAAAATCTAAACACAGTAAAGGTTTTTTGAAAATATCTTTTAAATGGAGATGGATATTACTTTGCGTGTGATTAGATAATTTTTAGTAAACAGGCAGCTCGACCTTTTAGTAACTTAACGCCAATCATGAAATGCAGCCATTAAATTGGCGAATTGGATCTAAGATTCGGCTAAAATGAACTGTGCCTTGATTCTCAGTTTTTGTTGACCAAACAAATCTGAAAATAATTTGAAAATTTAGTTTAAGTCAATACAGATGCCATAAAACCCCGATAGATGTCGAAAATTGTGTTAAAAGTGCATTAAATTCAAATCTCAGAAAACAAAATTTTACTAATTGAGGTGGTGGAGATTACCAATTGAGGAGCGCGCTTGCCGCAAAACAGATTTGGGTGGTGGCGATTACTATTTGAGGAACTCTGGACTCCCCCCTCTACCAGCTTGAAGTTGAACTAAGTGTTTAAACGGAAGCATCTATATATAAATTTAGCTTGTCTGGGTGTTTGTATCCAATTAACGTCAAAACGGCTGAACCGATCGGGCCCAATTTTTTTGCGGGACATCTAGGGACCCCAGGGAAGGTTTATGAATGATCAAAATTTTAAATATTTGTCTCCATCAAAAGTCGATCTTTAAATTTTTTTTAAATTTTGAAAATCCACAATTTTTTTTGTGAAAATCCGCGAATTATTTTTGTTTTGTCTTACGATGTACATAAAGAGAACATGTTCACAATTAATTTAGAAGATGGGCGCGAAGCGCCCTCTAAGGCTAGTTTTCTAAATTTTACAAAATATAAAACTTTTGAACACAAATTTTTAAAATTTTGATCATTCATAAACCTTCCCTGGGGTCACGTAAGGTCCCACACAAAATTTTGGCCCGATCGGTTCAGCCGTTTTGACGTTTATTGGATTCAAACAAACATACAAGCCAAATTTATATATAGATGCGCGAAAAAATTTTATGAAATCCGCAAACTTTTTTGTTTTTGTTTTATACTGTACAAAAAGAATATGATCTGAGATAAAGCCTCAATTAAAAGTTGAAGATAGAAGATAGTATTATAAATTTTACTGAGTAAAAAGTATCTATATTTTTTCCTCGATGTTTTCATTTTATTGACCAATTTAAAAGAATCTTTACTTCAAATGTTATTAAAAATTGAAGAGTAAAAATTATACTGATTTTTTCTTTTCTTTGATTTTTAATTCTGGGGGGCAAAAGTATTGAATTTATTCAATGTTGTTAATCAATAATTTTTTATAAATTTTTTTGATTTTGTTGAGAAAAATGGTGTGTTTCAGAGCTGGTTCAGTGGAAGAGACTAAGACTGTAGTACCCCCTGTAAAATACACACCCCTACCCACCCCCACAGGTACACTCACAGAGGAGGGGTAAATATTTTCTTGAAAATCATTGTTTTACATCTTCCCATCCAAATTAAATTTTTCTTAGTTATTCAGAGTCTAAAACTAAAGAATGCGCGAATTGTAAGTTCGAGGTTTTAAGTTCTGTAAAATAATGAATAGCTACTTAAATATTAAACTTTCTCAATTTTAAATTTGAATTTTCCGGGAAAATCTGAACCAATCAGAGAAAAGGATTTACGGAGAATATTACATAACCATCGCTAATCAGCTGATTACGTAACCGAAAAAAAAAACATATTTCGAGTTACAACCGTATTTTTGGTTTACATGCAAAAATTAATTAATCTAAAACGAAAAATTTCTTTAACAAGGTTTTCACTTTTAAATATAACGTAAATGAATGCCACTTTCTCAGCTGAATGATGATTGAATAATAGACAAATAGGAATCTTTGAATGCATTCTGAAAGTTAAATTAAAATAGTCACTCCTAAAATTTTAATTTCATAGTTTAAAATAAATGTTTAAATCTTGTTCCAATAAAAGTCCACTCAATAAATTGAATAAGAAATTTGTTCAGGAGGATTGAAATGTATTCGATTAGGTTGTGAGCATCCCAGTGTCAGGTGAGGATTAACCTAAAGGATTAAACTAATGGATTAGACTTTCGGATTACATTTAATCCTTTGGATTCAATTGAGTCATGTTCAATGATCATTCATTATCTAATTCTTTCATGACCTAAACAATTACCTCGACAATGACCTCGACATCTACCATGACCTCAAACATGACCTCGACTATGACCTCGACCTTTACCTATACTTAGACCTAGACCATGTCCTCGACCTTCACCTCGAACATATCCTCGGCCATGACCTCGACCTTCACCTCGACCATTCTCTCGACACTGACCTCGACCAAGTCTTGGACTACGACCTCTACAATAACCTGGACTATGATTGTAACCATGACCTCGACCATGTCCTTTTCTATTCCCGATCTACAAAATTACCAATGTTTAGAAACCTGGAATGGGAAGATGAGTATTGTAGTAATCAATATGTCGTTCTTCATTGTGAATACGTATTCAGGAATGTGTTTATCAAACGGAAAATTATATTTAAATTTGAAATCTAGTTTTTTAAAAAGTTCAAGTTTTAGGATTTTAAAATTCAGATTAGGAAATTTTCACCTTTCTTAATGGGATCGTAGGCGTAATTTTGTTTGACCTCAAAACTATTTAATGAGTCCGTTTCACAACATAGCCATAGAACCGATAACTGGGGGTAAAATAGCCATTAACTGTGGGTAAAATAGTTGAGATATATCCATGCTTTTTTATCTGAAAATTTAATAACAACAAAATTTAAAGAAATAATCTCGATCTACCGATCTCTCTTTGTTACTTAAATAACGGTTGTAAATTGGGTTAATTGAAATTATTTCATTTTTAAGTAAAACGGGAATCTGAAAGGGAGTGTCTGGCTAGACATGATAGTTGAGTTGAGAGTGCAGTATTGCAGAATTAAAAATATTTGGATTTAGTTGATACCTTTTAGACGTTTTACGTTGCATATTTGTTCATCAAGAGCGCAAATTTAATCTTTAAAATCCTCATAGATTGTCCATTTTGGAGGGATGATTTTAAGAAACCTTATTTTAATTTTTCAATAACGACGACGAAAAATGTAACACACATTCTACAGTAAACTAATTAGATTCTAACTCAACTACCATATCTAGCCAGACACTCCCTTTAACTTGTTTTAAACAATTTTTTTAAATTTACTTTGTCAATATGAAATAATACCATGATAAACTAATTCTGCAGAGAATGGGTGAGAGAGCAGGCATCAAAAGCTTAAATACTGATTTAAAAATATAGATACAGGAAGATGATCTCGGAGAAATCCGCGAAAAATTTGAGAAATTTATTAAGTTATTATTTCAAGAAGTTTGATGGAGGTCAAAATAACCTAGAAAAAAAAAACAATGAAAGTGCGTAAATAGTGTTGTATTTTGTCTGGCCCATTTAAAAGATATAAAAATAAAATTCAATGTTCACCATGAACATTGAACATTGAAAATTGAACATGATATCGTAAATTTAAACTTTCAATTTTCCTGTTCATCATTATGTTTCGTTTTAATGTCAATAGTTTCTTCACAATACACTGTTAAGTGAGAAACTGGTAAAGTATTTATTTAAGTCCATCAAAATCTGGATTTTTAAATCCAAATAAATGACCTGCTTTAATCCATATTCCAACAGTAAAAACGAGATTTTATCCGTTATTTTACTGAAACAGCCTCTATTCCAAATTCGAAATTAATTGGGATAAATTTTACCTGGATGGGCTGTACAATGACAAAAGTTAAATGAACCCTACGTAACAGTGGAGTCATAAAACGCATAAAAGCAAATAAAAAAATAAAAACTTAATTATTATTGTTGCAACTAGACTTGCATTCCACTGTGCCAGAATTTTATGCTATTAAATTCTTTTTTCGAATTAACAATGGGGAAACATTGTATTATAAAGATGCTTAGATAATATATTGGCGGGGTTAATAAAGATTATTGATAAATAGTAATTTTAGAGCATATATATTGAAGTAATAGTTTATGTATCGATGATAATGAATAATACGTCTATAGATGAATCTTAAATCACTAACTAATAGGGCTAGTCTCAGAATATTATGGAGAAATAGTAATTTTAGAGCATATGTATTGAAGTAATAGTAAATGTATCGTTGATAATAAATATTATACCACATTCTTGTCGGATTTACTACTTAGCCAAATCAGGAATAATTCTTGTTATTGTCACCCATTTTGTGTAATAATTATAATTATTCGTGTAAAGGTGGTATAATATTATTATGCGTAGGAAGAAAGTGTAATAATCAATATTATAACAATAATTTTGATTATTACACTTTCTTCCTACGCAAAATATACTAATATGTCAATTGATGAATCTTAAATTACTAACTGTGGGGTTAGTCTCAGAATTATTATTAGCAAGAAGTAGTTGAACTCTGTATGTAGTTTGTATTGATAGTTGAAATACTCTAAATGCTCTAATATATATATATACATACAAACAACAAACAAACAAACAATGATAGGCTGAAATCTGTAGAGTAGGAAGACGACATAAAAGCAATAATGAAGCGCAATTGATATTGTTAAAAAGTAAGCAGCGTTTTTAGTTTGTTATTTAGTTATTAAATCACTTATCACATTTAATGGGTCTGATTTTGCAGTACACTATTGCAGTGTCTCGTGTTTATTGAAATATTTAAAGTCACAACTTATGTCTAAAAGTCGTCTTCGTATTCCACAGTTTTCTGGTTCGTATTGTAGTAATACCTAGTTTAACCACTTCTCGCTGTTCAATAATATTTCTTTTGGTAAGGTTCTAAACTTCTTTACAAGGTTTTCTTGGGGAAGTATTGTGCAGCGGGTTTGTGGCAGTGCGCCATTGAACTTGACCCATGCTTGGTGGTCCACACTTTGGCCCGTGTGGCCAACCGCCAATGAACCCCGCTACTCCCTTTGGGGATAGTGCGGTGACCTGGGCTCTACCCAAACCTCTCTTCGGACTGATGTGTGACTGTTTTATTTATTTATTTATATATATATATATATTTATCTAACTATATATCTGTCTGTCTATCTAGCTATCTATCCTATCAACCATATGACGTTTTCATCGGAGACCCCCATGGAAATAGAGAGTTTCTGCATGCAGAAAGATGAATTGGTCTCCAATGAAAAAATGGGATTCTCCGATTAAAAGCTCGGGGTATCGAATGTAAATCATGGGATCTCAAAAGTTTGGATGAATAGATGGTTTTTCATACTCTTCTCTAATAATGATAATTTCTTCCAAGACTAAATAATTAAATCAAATATTATTCTTATGCTTTTAAAACATAAAACCAGGAGCAGGAAGTAACAATAGTAACAATAAAAAAAATCAAATATGGAAATTTTTCTATCCAAAACGTTTTCAATTCTTTTAATCTCCTCAACTCCTAAAAGATTATAAAACCCACGTAATTAAAAATAAAAAATGAGAGTTAGAGATCATACAGGGTGTCCCAAAAACATGGGAATTCAGTGACGAATTGGATATCGTCTTTGTTATGAATTAGCATTGGTATACCTAACTTCTAAAGCCATAATATTATTATGTCTGCTAGAGTTTATTTTATGAAAAGGGTAAAAGACTAAAGAACTCTAAAGATGTGTCTATAATGTCTCCGCAAGATGAAAAGTGAAGACGGACTTAAGTTTACTCTGTTTGTATACTGCAATTTTCTTGTTTTACTAAGTACAACCGTACGCAGTCAAAACATAAACAAACAAAATGTGAACGTAGCAGACGATTGACGAACTCTTACAGACTACAGCTTTCTCAGTAGGTATCACTATACTAAATCAAAAAATTATTTAAAAAGACGATATCGAATTCGTCACTGAATTCCATGTTAATTGGGACACCCTGTACCCTGCCATGATGCCAGCCCTTTTGTGTCTAAAAGGCATACCATGCTTAGAGAATTACAAGATTTTTTTATATTTCGTAAATATCAATCTTATCTTGCTTGTACAAATTATACGATTTTTACTCATATGCAGTCTGTACAGGGCTACCCATAAAGCATGATAATTCAAAGACTACTTGAAACTAATGAAATATGAAGATTTCAAGGTTAATTTAATAAATTGTCTTTTAATTGATTTGACAAAGAAAGAAGCAAGTTTACAGAATCATGGAATCATAAATTTAAGGAACTACAGACGGTAAAAACATAAAAGAATCATCTCTGAAGCCTCCTCCATCTCTGGGTAACCCTGTATACTCACTGTACAGTAAATGATCATCGAACTAGAAGTTTAAATAATTGTATTTATTTCAGAATGGATTATGGTCTTGAAAGATGCTTCACATGAACACATGAGTTCTAAGCTGTGGAGAACTGAACATGACTACAAAACATATTAAAATTATATTTGGTATTCAAAACATTGGAATTATTAGTTGTTCAGAATCACTGTTAACAAAGAAAATTTTCTTTACATTTTTGTTTCCCTTTTTTCAGAATTTTCAGAAAATTTTAAGACCCAAATGGACTGTAAGCGTAATTTCAATTGAAAAAATCATGCAAAGATTGCGGTGCCCTATTCATAACGGTACCCTTTGAAACCGTTATCTGGTCAATAACGTTCTATGTTAAAAAGGTTATTTATGATAATTCCTATATATGACTCATTCCTGTAGAAGAACTGCGCTATTTACTTCTTCAGAGAATTCAAAATAGCAAAAAATCAATTTTAAAATTATAAACATATCTTTAATTCATACTTGATCAGACAAAGCTATTATAAGGGCACCGTTGTTAATCGTACATTGCCATCTTTGCATGGAGGATCAATTATGTTTACAGCCCCTTTAATGAGACAGTCAGCACAGCGACTCATTGCAATTAAAGGAATGCACGCCCAATTTACATCTTAATCTGAGGAAAAAAGGGTTCTTCCGTTTTAGGCCGAAAATCACTTTTTATAGAGAAACGGCTATCAAAAATAAAAAAATTTCAGTTTTTATGTTGAAAAACAAGAATATATTTTTCATTTTTAATTAGACTAAAGTTTAAATAGAGTGCGCCCTTGAAAAGTACTTTAATCAGGACCCCATTGATCAATTTACAGATTCAATTATTTAAAGTTTAATAATAGCCTGTCCAAGCGACACAAATATCAAATCGGTTTCAAATCTTGTTAATTGAGAGGAAAAATATGCTTTCAGATTTATATATTTTTCTGAAAAATCATTGTTCCCCCCATTCCCTTTTAAAAATCGCTTTTTTATGTATTTTTTTCATGTACATTTTTTAGTTTTTTTTCTAGCTATAACGTCGAAAATAAATGTAAAAGGATGAAGAAGAAAATAGACTAATGATGTCTATTTTTTCATTTTTTTCCCCAGGGGGGGGGGAATTATGAAATGATGATGCACCATAATTAAGTTTATCTGTATACAATTAATACAAAAACCTATTTAATTTTTATTTATAAAAAAAAGTCTTATAATAAAGTTGGACGATTTTAATGTTAGCTAAGTGTGTATCGTTCAAAAGCAATATTTTTTCTCTATTGCTCCCATGAAAAACAGGCAAGCAATCAGATACAAAAACTCGGAAATGGACCAAACCTCTGTAGAGTAAAAAAGTAGATGTTAGTTCCACATTTATTGAAAATATATTTCGGTCTGGGTTGACCTAACGTATGTCGAGAGTTATTTAAGTAAACTAGATTTTTTTAGCAAATTTCCTTTGATTTAGTTTAAAAGTATTTATCGATCAACATTTATCGAATTTCTTCATCGACTTTGAGAAAGCCGTTACCCCCCTTCTCATCCACATTTCTACCCCCTCCTCTTCCGCCCCAGAAAACAGCTGCAACACACAAGCTTACTCTTTACCCTCTGCAGGGATAACTATTTTCCCGCATTTTTAATTCTAGATTTTCTCCGCGCAGTTTTAGCAATATTTATCGCTAGTTTTCGGACTTAACCAGAATTTTGAGGATACAATATTTCCTTTCTATCTATCTATCTATCCTGTCGGAGCCAGCTCCGGTCCATAACGCGATATCGCCTCGCAATTCTTGTAGTAACCCCCTCCCTCCTCACTAGTAAATATACTTTACATAACATATATTCTTTTCCTTAGTGCATCTTATAAACCCATACAACGGTTTGCACTGACTCAACTCAAGTCTGTTATCAGAAGATAAACATGAGGTGAGTATTATAAATAGTATACGTTTAAAGAATAGTTTAGTTTAGATTACTTCGTGAATATAAATTGTTGCCACAATTAATTTTAGACACAACTTCAAACATTTAAAAATGTAGATTGATCATTTTATTCGAAATTTTGTCCAAAAAAGTTTAAATTGAAAGATTATAAAGCTTTATACAAAAAATGTCGGTGAAATTTGAAGATAGATGGAAACATGTGGCTTATTTTTACATAGACTTTTTAATCAGCAAAACACAATTGTTCATTATTAAATTAAAGTTGATTATTTAAACAAATGATATTCAAAAAAATGTTCTTATGAAATATAATTTTTGAATAACAGAGTGATAAAGGAATATATTGAACTAAGTTCAACGCAGCATAAAAAACAGCTTTCTAAATTCTAGATATTTCATATTTCACAGTTTATATATCATGTGTAAAATTTTGGATAATGTTTCCTACGCACATGTTTTGTAGATGTCATACTCAATCAAAGCATACTTTAAAATTCATTTTTTAAGTTTATAATTTTTTTATAAAACAAAATAATTGTATCTTTGCCAAAATCAAAATAAACGATATTTTTTTAAAAACAAAATCTTGAATTTATCTTTGCCTATACTAATTTATCATTTTAATAATAAAATTTAAAATTAAAACATAATACGTAGGGTATGGAGATCAGGAAACAGCATTGCATACTCTGTTCTTTCTACGATCTCTTTGATTTTTAATTCACATATTATTCTTATTTTTACTTACATTTTTAAAAATTGTGACACAGTTTTACATACCCAAAACCTCAAATTGTTTCTGAAAAAATTGCCTTTTTGTCGTTGAAATTACCTATCTATGAAGATTCTTTTCTGTCTATGAAATTGCCTGTATATGAAAAATCTACTGTATCTATGAAATGTCCTGTCTATGGAAAGTCCTATCCATTAAATGTTCTATCTATTTTGTTTTATAAAATGTTCTATTTATGAAATGCTCTATCTATAATTTTGTTCTATGAAATGTCCATATATCAAATGACCCCTTCTCTGAGGTCATATGAGGGCTCACCCAAAATGTGGGCCCGATCGGTTCAGCCGTTTTGACGTTTATTGGATACAATCAGACAAGAAAAACAAAGTATATAATATATATATAGATAACCCCCTTTTTACCCCTTTTTCTAGCTGGAAATTGATTATTTTTAATTGTGTACATCTTCTATAAAGGTAACTCCCATTTTTACGCTGCAAAGAGAATTAGGGAAATGGATAAAAGGCCGATATGTCACTCTTTTTTAAAGAAAACCTTACTTGAAATTTCATTATATGTTGATAATTGCAGAAGATTTAAACTAAATAGTAACTTAATACCCGGATTTAATTAGTAAACAGTGCAGGTGTATAATGCCGCACCTGCACCTAAACCTATGCTTGTACATGTGTTATATATATAAAAAAATCCCCCTTTAAATTCAAAACATACCCCCCCCCCACTCCCTCACAGTTAAACTGGTAGAATCCCATTCCGTTAAAATCAATATATGTGTAGTATGTATCCCTTTAAATTTGAACATATAGTACGTGCCGGTTTAACAGAAATCGATATTTGTCCCTTTAACTTTGAATGGTTACACACACACACACACCCACACATGCTATCATTCAAATTACTCACACGGCCGCGGGGGGGGGAGGCTTTCTTTTGTTTTTCATAATAAGCTTTAAGTATGATTTAACGTTTTTGCCTTGTGTTTAAGTCAAAATAAGGAAGTGAAGGTGTCGTATTTATACATTTTTTAACCCTTCGTCCTCCCTCCCCCCCTCCTCCTCCTCCCTCCCCAAACTAATCTCATCTATTCAGCGAAATCTGATACTATAGAAATTTATTCATGGAGGCCAGGGTGCTTCATAAAACAATAAAGATTTCGTAGTCTTTATGTTGCGTTTGTTATTTAAGAAATCCGCAAAAGTTGTTTACTTTTAGTCGAAGAAATCCGCGACGGTCAGCTATTGTAGCGAAAGAAGACCAGGAGGCAAATATTGACGACCCTGAAGAGATGGAAGACGAAGAGCTAGTCGCTGATGAGGCTCATGACGACGAAGAAGAGAATGAGGAGGGGGTGGAAGAGGGAAAAAGCAACGATGACGCCGACTTTGACTTGGTAATTTTATATTTTTTTTCAATATTAAAACTTTGTGGGTCTTTTGGATGATGCAGGATGAGAACTTTAAAGATTTTTTCAGTTTTTTTACTTAATTCCTTGCAATCAATTATTTCAAAACTATTTTAAAAGGAGAAAACAAAATTCTGTTATTAGCTCATTATATTTAGAGAGAATTAGTCTTCATAAAAGTCTCATCGTATACACGATTTACCCTTCTTAGTTTTATTAAAATATAAATGCACTTCATATTAATGTATTTGGGGTCAAACTTTTAAGAACAAAGCGGAAATATGAGACGCGGCCCAAAATAAGGAAATTGGATCCCTTTCCCCCCCCCCCCTCTAAACCCCTTGGTTTCCGTCTTAACACTCATCCTGAATCTCAGCCGTGTTTGAACTTTAATTCTACAATTTCTTATCAACAGTAGCACCCCCCCCCCCCTCTCTCCCTCGTGATCCCCCCCCTCGGAGAGTTGAATGCCCGATAAAGGAACAGCTTCCTCTGAAACAATTAGCTGAAGTCAGTTAAACAATTCAATAACAGAAATCAATATGTGATAAGTAACATCTGTATGCGGGTAGCTGAGAGGGGGGGGGGAGCGGATTTAATATAATAATATATCATTTCGTAAATTTATCATAACTTTTTTTATTTAATTTCTAAATCCGCATTTAAGTTATAAACATATATACAATATGTACCTGTGGAAATTTATGACGTTATTGTTTCTTTATGTATTTGTCGTGTAAGCTGTTTTCAAAAATTTCGGTTATTTTTTTATAACATTCGAGATAAATAACTTTCTTAAAGTTACACATTCTCTTTATTTATTGATGAACCAGCAGAAGTACCCGGTGTTGCTCAATTGTCCATCAATCGTTAGTTTTTGATGAATAGCCATGCAAAAGAAAAAAATTGTTTAGAAATTGCAATACGTATATCGGATTTATTTGCTTTCCTGAGACGTATGCGAAAAAATCCAAACTGGAAGAGCTACGAGGTTACAAAGTTGTATCAATAAATTGTGGCCTAAATTTCATCTTTTCCCTCTGCCTAGACTACATTACTTGGTTTGGAAGATACGTGCGCATACCTCGTTAAATTACAAGACAAAGAAAGAGCCTGTTCTAGCCGCGGCGCTCGGCCCCCCTAGCCTCAGCGCTGGGTCCAGAAAGTGTCTTTACTTAATCTAACCCTAAAATATAAATTAATCTCTCTCCTCTTATAATTCAACGGGACAAGTGCACGTAACTTCCTTGGGCAACTGCATAAAGCAACTACATACCCATATACATTTTTTCCCCTCTGTTTAAATATAAGATATAATGAATTATTGCTCTTTAGGAAAATAAGAAGAAATTCGGGTGTCCCGGGTGTCCAGCGAAATTCAACCGAAAATACGATATGGAAAAACATGCCAGGTATTTTTGTTTTTTGTACATCCTTTAAGGAAAAGAATTAACTAAACTACATTGGTCTGCGATTTTATCAAAACAATGAAGACGGCTTTCGATTTTAATTTTGATTTAAATCTAGCTGTTAAACAACATGGATATATAACATAGAAGTCAAGAGAAGCTGTCAATTAAAAAAGCTTCTCTTTGATTACTTGTAAACTTTTAAACTCAAAGAAAAGGCTGTTAACAATCAAAACTAAAATAAAAATTCGTCTTCATCGTTTTGATATAACCACTGTATTAGATTTTAATCTGATTTTCTCAAAGCATCGGTGCTTTAATTTGGCCTTTATTCTGCAGTTTTAAGTGTTCCATACAGTGGGAAACAGAAAACAGTGAAATTATTGTCGTCTTCCTTTTCCTTTTAATTTTGTCATGTCGCCATAAGTTTTGTACTTTGCAACAGAACGTTTTCTACGGTGGTAGGCGATAATACCAATATAACGAAGACGACTTTTTTATCGAAGTTTTAATTGTTAACAAGCTTTTTTTTCAAATTACAAGTTTACAAGAAAATAATGAGAAGCTTTTTTTAATTGACAGATTTTCTTTGTTTCCATGCTTTAGGTATCCTTGCTATTTAAAAGCTTGATAAAAATCAAAATTTATATCGAAAGTCATCTTCATTATATTGATATTATCGCCTCTACTACTGTATTAAAGTTCTTTGAACATTTGTAGGGATAATGAAATTGCTAATTACAAAATTCTAGGAGAAAGACGACATTTATTTCTGGTTCTCACTGTAGTTCACGATAACTTGCGTTGAGCAACATTTCTTGTAATTTTATCTTTTACATCTCATATTATCTTAACATTTCATATTATCTTTGCTAAAATTATACAATTATGGAAATTTTAAAAAAGTCAATACTGCATTTTTGCAAATATTTCATTTGTTTGAAAACACCATTCACTGAATCTTTTTCTTTTTGAATAAACTTTTAAAAAATGAAAACATTTATATTCTGATCACAATTTTGCTTTATCTACAATATTTACTATTCTTACTGGATATTGAAATAGTTTTTTATTATTAATTTTTGTAAATGTTTAGAATGCATACTGGAGAGAAACCCTACCAATGTGGAGTTTGTGGTAAAAAGTTTGTCCAGGTAAACATTTAGAAAAATCTCTATTGACCTTCTATTTAAAATGTGTATGTTTCATTTCAAACGGGTAGTGTCAAACTATAAACGGTTTAACCCACTTAATCGTTGTAAATTAGTCTAAGCATATTCCCTTGGTTCTACCGAGTTCCCCAATCATACTTTATCAAATTCAAGGTTATAATGCAAGGAAAGTTATTTCAGAGATGTACGCATCTTTTGTACTGCAGTGTACTGTCTCTAGGCAGTAATATAAACACAAGACTGATGTCACAGCCTGACATGGGATCCATCTTTCACAGAACAATGAATGAAATATTCTGGTCATAGGAAACTATTATGTGAATTATAAAAACTTTAAAAATTTAATGCTTTTATCCTCCTCGGATACTAAACGAACACTGAAGCATCTATTCTTGTTTACAAATTCCGCCGAGAGTGAACTGGTTTCAATATGTACGCAACTGCAATTAGCTTTTCTTGCATTATAACCTTGATCAAATTGGTCAATGGGCTCATAAATTATAATCGGACATAAAACAAACTTTTTAGTCTGACTACTTATATTAATGTGATTAAATGAAAAAGGTTGGTTCGTTGACAATACACATGAGAGCCCACACTGGGCAGATGCCGCACAAATGTAATGTCTGTGACAAAACATTTGCAATAAAGGAGAGATTAAAACTACACATGAGAATGCACACAGGTGATACAATTTAAAGAAATAGCGTGTCTTAAAAAGGACTGTAAGTGTGATTAAGTAACCTTCCATGTTAAAATGGTATTGCCCGATTCAGAGCGGAACCCTTTTTTATCAATTCTATTATCTATGTGGAATGTGGATTTAATTATGGTAATTTCTATATAATCTCCTGCTGCGCTAGAAATTTTTGTAGAGAAGTTACTATTGAAAAAAAAAGTTTTCAAAAACAAAAAAAACATTTATATCTAAATTATACTTGATCAGACAAAGCTTTTAAGGGTTCCGTTGTGAATCGGGCATTGCCATCTTTGCATGGAAGCTCACTTCAAATTATGTGTTTACTTAAATTCGGATAAGTATTCCTTCCCTTGATTATTTCTCACATTCTCGCGTTCAAATTACTGAACGAACAGTCCTTAAATTCCCATTTGTTCAGGCGAGAAACCGTTTAAATGTGATGTGTGCGATAAAACCTTTGCCCGGGGTGGTCAGCTGATTGTACATAAACGAGTACATAACGGTGAGAAACCGTACAACTGTGATCAGTGTGATATGAAGTTCAGCTCCAGTGGAAACCTGAAGCTACACTCCAGTCAGCATCAAATTAGTAAGGTAGAAATCATGCGCAGATATTCTTAAACATTTCCTCGACCCCCCCCCCCCTTCTTATTTCGTTATTATCTTCAAGACTTATGCAAAACAATCCTAATTATACACAACACGCTTCATAAACTTGAATAATAACAACACACAATACACATCTAAATTCAGTTTTATGTTGTTAAAGGGATTTTCAACGGATTTCAAGTGATCCTCCATTTGAAGATTCACTTGGTACGATATAAACCAGGGATGTTTAACTACCCCCCCCCCCACCACATGGGAGAAAATGATTTTGATGAACTCAGCTGGGGAAAATGAATGAAAAATTGAACAACATACGGCAAGTTTTTCATCCTTTTGGACAAATTTTCCTAAAAAACTCGCTTATTTTCCTATTAATTAACTAAATCTTGGGGGGAAATTTGTTTCAAAAAGGGGAAAGTGATATTTTAAGAAAAAATACACCCCTAAATCTATATTTTTTTACATTTAGGAGTTTCAATGTCATCTGTGTGAGAAATCATATCCCCGTGCGGATACTCTGAAGAGACACATACTGAGCTACCACGAGGGGAAGAAGATGTATAAGTGTAACGTGTGTAACAAGAGTTTCAAGGGACATATCAAGGATCACATGAGAACTCATGCTACAGAGGAGGAAGAGAAACCATACTCTTGTGGACAGTGTGGAGCTAAGTAAGACCACACATTAAAGGGACTGTACGCGTAATTTCAAGTGATCCTACTGTCCGATTCACAACGGTACCCTTGAAACATTTATCTGTCCAATAATGTGGAAGATATTGTCGTTTTTCAATTGTGTTTTATTCTGATATGTTCCCCTTGCAAGTCACTTTTGTAGAGAAACCACAATCCCCTTTCAACAAAATAAACATTAATATATAATTCATACTTAATCAGACAAAGGTTTCAAGGTTACCGTTGTAAACAGGGCATTGTCATTTTTACATATATGATCGCTTAAAATAACGCTCGTAGACCCTTTAATTCTACTATTAAAAGGATTACATACAGTGAATCCCAGATACATGAATACATAGACCGTCATAAGCTTTTTGATAATTCTAAAGAAACTTCTTTTTATTTTTAATTCCAGGTAAATTAATAGCCCTGAAATATAAATACAATTGATATATTAATATTAAACTCATTTTTCCGCGGCATTTGATCTTAAATATGTAATACGACATTATAAAAAAAAAAACTCTTGCTATGTATTCATATATCTGGGATTCACTGTACTATATAGTCTATGGGTTCATCTAAACTGGGGATCAGTTACTAGGGTTGAATTGGTGGGTCTAGAATAAATATTTTTATTTGGTTATTTTATTATAGTTAAAGCTCAAACTATTTTGACAGTTGTTTTTAAAACTGTTTTCATTATTTAATAATATATATTTAATTTTTTTAGATTCAATCAGAGAAGTCAGTTGACAGTCCATATGCGCGTGCACACCGGAGAGCGCCCTTACTGTTGTAAAATATGCTCCCGTGCGTTTTCTCATTCAACTGCGCTTAAATTGCATTTGAGGATGCATACAGGTAAACTGACAGGGGTACATATTTTTTAACATTTCTTAAAATTTTAGTTTTTATTAATATGTATAAATTATAAAGTAATAAAAACAGGGTGCTAACATGTCTGCACAGTGCACACACATCTTTCCTGTCCTTTAATTTTCCATCATGTTCTTGGTGAAATTTTGAAAGAGAAATTTTTTGGACGTCCCGATAATCACCAATATATTATCGGTTCTAGAATTTTGTTGTAGACACCATATTTCTACACACCATATGTGTTTTTCAGTGCTTAGGATCCGGGTCCGTTGGATCCGCAAATTAAATTTAATTTTTTTTAAATTTTCCCCTAGTTCAATATTTTCCCCTAGTTCAGTATTTCCCCCATGTTCAGTATTTCCCCCTAGTTCAGTATTTCCCCCTAGTTCAGTATTTCCCCCTAGTTCAGTATTTTCCCCTAGTTCAGTATTTCCCCCAGTTCAGTATTTTCCCCTAGTTCAGTATTTCCCCTAGTTCAGTATTTCCCCTAGTTCAGTATTTTACCATAGTTCAGTATTTTCCCCTAGTTCACTATTTTCCCCTAGTTCAGTATTTTCCCCTAGTTCAGTATTTCCCCTAGTTCAGTATTTTCCCCTAGTTCAGTGAATAAAATGTTTGCTACGTTTAACATAACTAATTCTGGTGAGAATGAATGAATTTCAAAAGAAGGGGGGGGAAATATGATTTAAACAATACAGTATATACACCCCTGTATACTTATCAATAATCATTTTTTTAAAAGTTTGAATTCTCTGTAGTGGGATTTAGTATTTAGCATTTTCATAATTTTTGGGAATTTAGGATTTGGGTATAATTTTCATGTTTTCAATGAAAATTAAAAAAGAAAAATTGAATCTAAAATGTTTTTACTTCAGTTCAATAGTTAACTATATTTCTAACTGATATCACACTGCTAGAATTTTTTTATGACTCGGATAAGATAACCTTTTATTTGAATAGAAATCTGTCAAAAGTTGATAAAATACCATTGTGAATTAGACGTGCCACTTGCGGGTTTTATCCCGTTGTAAGCGTAATTTCTAGTGACCCACCGTGAAAAGATGTCAATGCCAGATTTACAATGGTATCCTTCACCATAGTTTCAGTAGAAGTAAATATTTCCATTTACTGATAGGGCCGATTGAAGGATTTATAACTTTAATTGGATAATGAGATAGATAGAAAGATAGATGCTACCGCCATACTATTTCTATTGGTTCAGAATAGACAACAAACACATGACAGAACCCTGATTGGATCAGGTGCCAATGGACTCAGCATACAGGAGTAGCTTGAAACCTTAATCTGATCAAAAACGCGGAAGATACCGTTGTTTTTCTGACTCAAAAAGTGTATATTTCTGCGAGTTTCTCCATTGCTTATTATAAACAAGAAATGCTAAGTCACTTTCACAGAGAAATCTCAAATGAAAATAAACAATTTAAAGAAACAAAAAATATTGATATCTAATTCATACTTGATCAGAGCTTTTAAGGGTACTCTTGTAAATTAGACATTTCCTTGCATGACGGGTCATTTGAAATAACGCGTACAGTCTCGTTACCCTTTTCCTATTCAGGAGAGAAGCCGCATACCTGTAAGCTCTGCAACAAATCGTTTGCCCAGCTCCCTCACCTCAAGAAACACATGCTCTGTGTACACAATACTGATAAACCGTACTACTGTGAGATCTGCCAGGGATTCTTTAAGGTATAAACTCCCCCCAAACGTGGTNCCCCCCCCCCCGGCAACGTGGTCCTAGCAATAACAGGATTTTTTTAATAATAAATTCAACCTATATGAAGCATAAAGTCTTACCGCGTCAACCTTGTTGCACTGGCTAGTCCTGTCCATAGAGCTTCGATACAGTACAAACTGCGACCGGAAAGGTTGACCCGGCCTGGCTCGGAAATTCAAATGTACTACGGCTGCTCGTGATTGCACGTAAGATGTTTTAAAAGTAACGACTCTTTTAGAAGAGCTATTGAGAAGAACAAAAAAAAATCAGATTTCTGAAGTGTAACAGAATAAATTTGCTTATCTCATATAATAGTGCCACGCACCTCTGACCCTTTAGTAAAAGTAAATTCAACCTAAAGTCTGACCGCGTCAACCTTGTTGCACCAGCTAGTCCTATTGAGTGTCTGCTTTATTTACTCAATGTCCGGGCGATACATTACAAACTGGGACCGTAAAGGTTGACCCGGCTCGTAATTTCAAATGTACTACGGCAGCCCGTGGTGCGTAAAATCAAAGTTAAAGAAGCTGTGAGGTCATAATATTGTGTCGCATAAATCTGACTTGCCTTTTTGTTGGTACGTTTTGAGTCTATGGCTAATACATATCAATTAGAACTCATAAATGTCGCAAATGTATTAACGTATTAACGTATTAATGTATTAAGGTATTAATGTATTACGTATTAACGTATTAACGTATTAACGTATTAACATATTAACGTATTAAAGTATTAACGTATTAATGTATTAACGTATTAACATATTAACGTATTAACATATTAACGTATTAACGTATTAATGTATTACGTATTATTATCAACCTCCATTCTTAAGATAAAATCTGCATATGAGGGCCACGCTCTACGCGATCATCCTGACAATCTTCCTGAGGATCTCCAGCTGGAACCTGTAGCTAGTACAGGAGATATAGAAACAGCAGCTGATATTACAATAATTACGGTAAAATATCTATCTGTCTATATATCTATCTATCTGCCTACAATTCGTCTAAATCTAACACTCTCAGCTCCGTGAAACAAAAACTTTTCTTTTCAAATGTTCGGTTTATTTAACCATCTTCAGGGCATATTCTAAAAAACATACAAAATAAGTAACTTGAATAATAGATGTTTAAAATTTAAAAGAATTAGAAGATTGTTTCGCGACGAATCCTTCTCATAACTAAATTCGTCGACTAATAATGAAAACCCTTTACTTAGATTCCATTTAGGTAGGCCGGATAATTGTATCCCGTAAGTTCTCTGTCTCGTAATAAAGGTTTAGAGCACTCTTCTATAACTTATTTATTGCAGGATCAAATCTAGTAAAAATGAAATGATTTTAGATATACAATACTACATAATTTAACAGAACTAAAAAATATAAATGAAACTACGTACTGCGAATTCGCGGACTCTAACATTTGAGATTGAGAAAGTTACAGGGCATATTCCTTTTACTGCACAGCGGGAAATTTAAACTAGAACCGCACAAACAAATGTCGTACTTACATATGCTGGCGTCCCGATAATGGAACAAAAGGGTATCTGTCTACTCAAGCATTACAAGATCTGAAATGATAAATCTAACAACAACACTCAAAGATAAGGTGTGAAACATAGGTGTTAACTGATCAAGCCCTGTATCTAGAGTGAGTCTGATTTATCATTTTCAGGTAGATCTCAGTTTAGAATAACCAATAGTAGGACTGCTTACATTACCGGACATATTCGTCCAATCAGGAGACTCCAACTCAACTTGGTACAGTGAGTCTCACTAAATAATAATGATTTTGTCTATTTTCGAAAACCCTGAATATACGCGTAACANGATTGATTACTAAACTGGATTTGCTTCGAAATGCACCTGATCGGAGACTTGTGCCGCACTGAGAAAATGCGGTTTAACTGGGATTGCTCCAAATTCATCAATCAGGAGACTTGCGCTGAATTTGCACTGAGAAAATGCAAGTTCAGAAACATACAACATAAATTAAATAATCCCCTATTAATTATTGTTTTGCAATTGCTGGCAAAACTGAAAATAATGAGGAAAATAGTTACTAGGATTGCTCCGGGCCCAAACCGAAGACTTGTGCCTGAATTTTGCAATGAGAAAATGCGAGTTCAGAAATAGGGTAATAAAAAAACTTGCTCCGGGCCCAAACCGAAGACTTATAATTGAACTTTCAGATAAACTGTTGATTCAGATAGGGTGTGCTCCGGGCCCCAACCGAAGACTTATAATTGAACAGATAAAATGTTAGTTCAGACAGGGTGTGCTCCGGGCCCAAACCGAAGACTTATAATTGAACTTTCAGATAAACTGTTAGTTCAGATAGGGTGTGCTTCGGGCCCCAACCGAAGACTTATAATTGAACTTTCATATAAAATGTTAGTTCAGAGATAGGGTTTTAGATTAATTTAACTCCTAATTTTTGTGGTCTTGCAATTGCTGGCAAAACTAAAAAATTACTAGGAGAATGATACTGAAACTGCTAGACCAGAAACTACTAGATCGGAGAGAAGATCTAACCTCCTTTTATTCAATGTTTTGCAATCGCAGGCAAAACTGAGAATAATAAGGAAGTGAAAAACAAGAATTTAAAGATGAAGGAAATTATTATTTGGGGCCGAGCGCCGCAAATATGAAAAACGGCAGTCTCAAACAAAGAACTATTATGAAGAAGAACTAAGGAAAATGTGAATCCGGAAGAATAGAACACAATTATATAATCCTTTATACTCAATGTTTGCAATTACAGGCAAAACTGAGAACAATAAGGAAAATGAGAACCTGACTTAAAGGAGTGTATTATTTGGGACCGAGCGCCGCAAAGAAAAATAAAGAAGGCGGTCTCGGACAAAAAAGAAAAATTGTTGTTACATTAGCATACCTGGAAGCCATATATTTGATTGTTTCGCGACGAATCCTTCTCATAACTAAATTCGTCGACTAATAATGAAAACCCTTTACTTAGATTCCATTTAGGTAGGCCGGATAATTGTATCCCGTAAGTTCTCTGTCTCGTAATAAAGGTTTAGAGCACTCTTCTATAACTTATTTATTGCAGGATCAAATCTAGTAAAAATGAAATGATTTTAGATATACAATACTACATAATTTAACAGAACTAAAAAATATAAATGAAACTACGTACTGCGAATTCGCGGACTCTAACATTTGAGATTGAGAAAGTTACAGGGCATATTCCTTTTACTGCACAGCGGGAAATTTAAACTAGAACCGCACAAACAAATGTCGTACTTACATATGCTGGCGTCCCGATAATGGAACAAAAGGGTATCTGTCTACTCAAGCATTACAAGATCTGAAATGATAAATCTAACAACAACACTCAAAGATAAGGTGTGAAACATAGGTGTTAACTGATCAAGCCCTGTATCTAGAGTGAGTCTGATTTATCATTTTCAGGTAGATCTCAGTTTAGAATAACCAATAGTAGGACTGCTTACATTACCGGACATATTCGTCCAATCAGGAGACTCCAACTCAACTTGGTACAGTGAGTCTCACTAAATAATAATGATTTTGTCTATTTTCGAAAACCCTGAATATACGCGTAACAAAGATAAAAGTAACAATAACAAAAACAAGTAAATGTGATACATTTCTTTATCACGACCAAAGATTAACTGAATATAATAAAGTGTGAGGGTTATCGTCTTTATATCTATTTTTCTATTTATTTACTTATCTATTTATCTATCTATCTAGGTGGATGACAGTGTAGGTGTCCAAATGATGAGTATGGAGAAGATGAGAACCTTGCTGGCTCTCCTCCTCAAGAAGATCTCAACTCCATCCAGGCTTAAGAAGCTCGGCTTTGGGAGCAGGCTCATAGGTATTATTATTATTATTGTAATTATTTTTATTATTTTTATTTTGCAGCAGCTTTTCAAGGGTATGTTACCATGTGTTGACTTCACAAATGTGTAATTTCACAATATTATTATTATTATCACAATATTATTATTATTTAATACATAATATAATATTATATTATAATATAATGATTATTGAATAATGCATTTGTCCAGGCAATGTCCACACAACAATTCAAAGAGATTTGTAGAAACAAATGAAAATTTTGAATAAGATACTAAAGATATTTTCAGAATATAGAGATACTACTGGATTGGACTATACCTCCTGAGTACATGGACTTTTTTAGGTAAATCATTAAAATAACAATAAAGATAATAATATTTAACTTATCATCTACAGGGTGTCCTACATCATATTAGATATATATATATATATTATATATTAGCTCTAAGTTAAGGGATTATTAAGAAAGTTAGAAAGAATGAATCATTTTAAAAGAATGCATAAGGCTTATATAAAAATTTTCTTGCAGAAAATAGCAGGTTTTTCGAGTATTAAAATATGATATGGGACGCTCTGTGCAGATAAATGAATATCAATTGAACGTCGTCTTCGTTGTACACGTTTTTTATCAAAGTTTGTTGTTCTAAGAAACTACGAAACTTCTTAAATTTAAAATATAATTTTTTCTATTTTTTCTCTGTTATTAAGTAATAACTCGAAATGTCTTCTTAATGTTTCTACAAATCAAACACTCATCAAGTAAATTGCATTTAAGATTAAATATTATATATTTTTTTAAATCATAATTTCTTTTATTTAAGAATCGAAATGTGTTAAATTTCTAATGTGTGACCGAAACCGAATAAATTTGTGTTTCTCATATTTGAGTAATGTGCATTAAATCAAAATTAGAGAAGCTACGAGGTCACAAAGTCGTAGCAGAGATGTTGTATGAGTTGTACTTTAAACCATAATAGAATTACGATTTAGTTTTTACATTTAGTAATTTATGAAAGTTGAACATATAAATGTATTTTTAGAAAAGAGAAGAAAAGTGTCGAGGAAATCCTTCAAGAGCTGGCAGGATAATGTTTAGGAAATCCGACATAACTGAGAATATGACATTGTAATCTTATAAAGGCTTCAGTTTGATAATATTTTGGGAAATCCTCAAAAAATGACAAGATGCTACTAAAAATCCTTCAAAGGCTGACAAGATAATCCTTGAGATGCTTGCAGAATAAAATGTTTAAAGTCCTTCGTAAATTGACAATATAACACACAATTTTTAGAAAATCTCCTAAAACTGACAAAATAATTCAAAATCATCCAAAGGCTGGCAGAAATTTGTGAAATACCCCAATGTACATTGCTATACACTGTACATATTGTAAAATGTACATTTTACCCACATTTTAGATTATTTAATATTTATAATTTAAAACAACGTGATTTTAACTATGATGAATCTATTATGATTATTTTAATTCTTTTTGGTGCCATTTTTACTTCTAGTCAAAACCAAACTCATTTTAGAAATTATTCGACCAACCAAAGCAGGCTAATTACTAATCAAAGCACTATTCTAACATGGAACGTATAAAACCTTATTTGACCAACCAAAGCAGGCTAATTATTGATCAAAGCACTATTTTAACATGGAACGTACAAAACCTTATTCGACCCAAGGATGTAATGTAAGGAAAGTTATTTCAGAAGTGTACGCATCTTTTGTACTGCAGTGTACTGTCTCTGGGCGGTAATGTAAACACAAGACGGATGTTACAGCCTGACATAGGATCCGTCTTTCACATAAAAAAATCAATGAAATATTCTGGTGAAAGGAAACTATTACGTGAATTATCAAAATTATCAAATTTAATGCTTTTAACCTCCTCGGATACTAAACGAACACTGATGCATCTATTCTTGTTTACAAATTCCGCCTAAAGAGAACTGGTTTCAATATGTACGCAGAGTAAACACGACCTCAATTAGCTTTCCTTGCATTACACCCTTGATTTGACTAACCAAAGCAGGCAAATTACTGATCAAAGTACTATTTTAGCATGGATCGTATAACACCCTGATTTTTTATTATTAAAAGAATTTTTGAACCACATTCATGTAAACATTATATTTTGTGCAATGGAACCCCGACAGTGCTATTCTATTTAATCTTTTAAATGCTTCCAGCTATTCTAAGTCAAGCTAAAACAAATAAATTATAACAAATATTTGATAAAAATACCGCAGCTTTTTAAATTGTGATCTCTAGTAGGCATTATTCTATTTTTTGTTGTTAAATAATGTATCTAATTAAATTATGTTCATTATGAATAAAGTATAAAAGTCATTTTATTTGTGTACTACAGACTGCTGAAAATAGACCATCAGGTTTCAAGTCAAAACACTTCTTTTTACTAATGGTTGCATTCTACTTACTTCAAATCTCAATTTTCATTGAAGTTCAAACAAATCCATTTTTAAGAAATTGTAGAAATAAAACGTATTTTTAGAGCTTAAATTAAAGATAACTATAGTTTTAAGCTTATTATATGCATATTCTACTATTTTTGCGACCTAATTTTCTACCGTAAATGGCAGGGTCTAAATTTTTAATGGAAAAAAGTAAAAATTGATTTTCAGAGATAACAATTTTCATTGCCTTGCCTTTTATTTCTTTTAAATATAAATTTTGACTTTAATGTCTTTATTCTAAATATGATCTGAGGTCTAAACTTGTATTTTTATTAAATCTGACCATTGTCAATTCAGTGCCAAAGCGCTATAATAATCAAGTTTAATAGTTACCTAACCTCTAAACATATTCAGAGATTCAAGTGCATCAAAATGATTAGCTCTATTCATAAAAAAAATGTAAAACAAAATTCCACTTTTATCAATATTTATCAATAGGGTTTGTTGTTCTTGAAATTAAACTTAAACATTTTTTGTAATTTACACAAGTAACTCAATTTTTTCCCTAAAAGTTATAAACCAGTCGTATATAACATAGATAATTCCTGACATTGCAATCAATGTGAACCAAAGAAAATAAATTTTGCTATAAACCAAAATTACAATCTTTGGTAATGTAAACCCATAAATCTCAAACATATAGAACTTACTTCGTAGTTTGAAATATATTCAGAGATGGGAAAATTAAGAGTTTTGTGGCTAAAACTCAATTTCTTAATTAACTACTTCTGATTTGCAACCAAACTTCATTTCTTCTGTTGTTCACAACATCCGGAGCATCATAGCCAGCAGTCCAACGAGGAATAATAGAAACATCTAGCCCTGCTCTGACCGCCAGCAGATAGAGCTCTTCAGCCTGGGACCAGAATTTATGAATTAGAGAGAGGTTGGTGAACTACCCACTACCGGTTCAACTAATTCTCAAGACTGGCTCAAGTGATGAATCACCGATTCAAAATTCAAGATTTGGAACAACCATTGTGAAGTCAGCTGAACCAGAAGATGGCCGACAATTAAAATCAATCAATCAGAGCGCCGAAAAAATCGGGTTTATCAATCCATATTTGCAGTGTTGTACTGCTCTTAGATACTAAGGTAGTTCAAAATTTAAAAAGTTCAACCAACAATAAACAGTATGTGGTTGAACTGTATCTATGTAGTTCAAAGACTTCTTGTAATTCATAAAACCCTGTCCCTGAATACTGTATTCAGCATCATCAGGTCTACCTCCAAACCTCTTTGACACCACCTTTGACCAGTGCACGTGCTTAGAATCTGACAATTATCAGAGATTTGGCCAAGGAGGGAGGGGGCTTAGCACCTGTTTTCTGGGGCCTGAAAACCTCTTGGAAACCATAATTTAATAGAACCACGGGGACTGAACCCCTGTAGCCCCCCCTTTCTGAGTGTGCCTCTGGAAAATATGCAGATTCCTTGATCCGGATCCGGTTGGTAAATTATCATAGCATTTTAAAAACCTTTTTTTATGAAATGTCAACTTAAAGCGATTAAAGGGCCTGTAAACGTAATTATGTGAGACCATCTATTTATAGAATGGCATATTCGATGTACCCTCAAAATCTTTCACTGATCAATTTTAAGAACTGAATATTTTCAATTGTGGATTTCTTTAAATGTGACTTACTAATATATACATTTCTACTGCTGGGAAACCACGGAGAAATTATCTGGATTAAACACTTTTCAAGTAATAAAAACTATGTCATCTCCCAAATTATTGTTTGAGTACTGTTCTGAATCATGTGTGTCCCTTTTTAAGTAAAGGATCTCCAGAAATTACAAATATTTAAGTGTAAAAGTCATGAAATTTGTTTGAATGTAAAAGATTAAGGAAAAACAAATATGGAAATTTCAGAGGAAGGGTTGGAATCCTTTTTTTTGCAGGATTTATCAAAATGAAATGGATCCTATGCAATGCCTTATTCGCTGCTCGCTCTTCAATGAAGACCGTTGAGTCCTTTGGTAAAGGAGGATTGTTTTGTAGATTGGATGGGATGTAGAAGGACATTGTGAAATTGCTTCCGGAATCACTTAAAAATATCTTTTCCGTGACTGGAGTTGTCATGGGTATTTTTAGCCCCTGTGAGTTTTGACCGTCAATGTAGTTGAACAGTTTTCTGAAGGCTTTAGAATGTTCTGGTGAGTCTTGAACACTAGTTGCAAAGGTGTATATTTCCCAAGGGGTGAATAAATTCAAATGTGTATACCTGCCAAGGGGTGAATAAATTCAGAGGTGAATATTTGCCAGGAAGTGAATAAATTCAAAGGTGTATATCTGCCAAGGGTTGAATACATTCAAATGTGAGTATTTGCCAAGAGGTGAATAAATTCAAAGTTGAATATTTGCCAAGGGGTGAATAAATTCAAAGGTGAATATTTGCCAAGGGGTGAATAAATTCAAAGGTAAATATTTGCCAAGGGGTGAATAAATTCAAAGGTGAATATTTGCCAAGGGGTGAAAAAATTCAAAGGTGTATATCTGCCATGGGGTGAATAAATTCAAAGGTGAGTATTTGCCATGGAGTGAACAAATTCAAGATGAATATTTGCCAAGAAGTGAATAAATTCAAAGGTGAATATTTGCCAAGAAGTGAATAAATTCAAATGTCTTCATTTGCCATGGGGTGAATAAATTGAAAGGGTGAATATTATTGTAGTTTGAATGGTTTGGCAGAATTTAGGTTCCAACATCAGAAAATATTATATATTGTTTTACACCCAAAATATTGGCAACTAAACTAAGTTCAGCATCTATCTATATACGGTGGTAGGCGACAATACCAATATAATGAAGACGACTTTTATTTTAAAGTTTATATTGTTTACAAGCTTTTGGAATTACAAGTTTACAAGTAATTAAAGAGAAACTTTTTAATTGACAATTTCTCTTTGTGTCTATTTTTTTTGCATCTATGCTGTGTAAAAGCTTGATATAAATCAAACTGCTTGGATGTAGAATCTAAACTCAGGCCTTTTCACTGGGTAATTTGATAAATGAGGAGGAATGTTCTTTAGGCATTCTAAGTTCAGAGGGTTGGCATTTAAAAAGAAATTTAATTACCAGACAAAGCTTAGTTTCCAAGTATGTCTTTTAGTAAAACTCATTGAAAATAAAGGAGAGGATATTAAGGGAAATATATACCCCTCTTTTGAAACCACTTTGGTTGATATCCATTTAGTGGTTGGGAACTCTCTCTCCTCCCAACCATCATGCTCTTTAAACAGGATTGTTGCAATTTAAAAAAATCAAACTTTCTAGTTAATAATAATCAATATATAGTTTAAGAGCTTTACAATCCAAAAATAGTAAAACATGAGAAGAATTAGTAAAATTGAAAATATTCTTTGAAATGATTTATTCAAAAATTGCAAAAGACAGGACTTATCATTCCAGATTCCTAATTTTATCAATTTTGAAAATGGTAACAATTTTGTAGTTTGAAGATAAGCAGATGAACATGATGTTGCAATATTTGTTTATAGTTTACAAGTTAAAAGCAAAACCACAATCTTGATTTTGAATTCGGCAAAAATTCCTTTCAAAACTTGGTAAGGTGCTGTTTCACTTTCGCCTGCAACAGAGTTGATAAAAAGAACAAGGAGGAGAAGCATTTCAGAGTGTAGGTTTATAGAAACTAACATGAACAAAAGGTTCAAATTACCTACACACTATTAGAAGTTAGATAACTGATGTTTACACTATGCTCCTATTGTAAAACATTCAATCCTTTCATCTTGAAATTTTTATTAACAGTGTTTCATCTCAATCAACAGATTATATTATCAAGTTATTTTCATGAAAAAGTAAGTTAAAAAAGATATTAAAAAAATATAAACCCATATTTAGATAAAACTAAATAAACATCAGCTAAGTTTCCAAGGACTGAATTGAATTGCAGAGGTTGCTAAGCATCTTTCTAAGGGTAATTTCCCCAGTGGCAATCTCCCAAGGGAAAACTTCCCAAATCTGACAAAAAAGTCGGCAATAATATAAAATATTTCTTTTTGATTTTATAATGTGGAATCCCAAACTATAAGAATCCTAAACAATAAGAATCCCAAATGAATGTCAACCAATGTTGGGATTGGAAGAATTGGGATAAGGATGAGGACTAGGAAGTTGGAATAGGTTAGATATGGACCAATTGGGAGTAGATAAAATAGGTTTGGAATTGGAATAAAATACAGATAAAGAGGAAGTTAGGATTGGGATTCAATGAATGTTTAGGATGTTAAAAATGGTTGGTAAATTGGGAGTTAGAGTAATTGTGAAGATTGAGTTCAAATAGTTGTTTTTTGGGAAACACTTTTGGAAAGAGAATAAGCAAAATATTAAAGATACAGAATAAAATATATGTGTGTAAACCTATAGAGTGTGTAATTTTATGGATAAAAATGTTAATAAGGGGTGAAGACGACATTTTGGAAGGAATTAGTAGATAATTGTTAAGTTGGAATAAGAGAAAGAAAAGAGTATTAAAATCATCATTAGAATCATTCAATAACCTGCAACAGTTCATAGAACTATTCGATCATATACAGACTTCCATATAATAAATGAGTGAAATGAGTGAAAATGGAGATGGAAAATTTTCTTTAAAAAATATCTATATTTTCATTAAAACAAGACATAATATTGTATAATTACAAGTAATATGTATATAAAAGATATCATAGATATCAAAGATATATTTACACTGAAGGCAGTATTGATTAAAGCTTTTTAGTTAAGGGCAAAGGGAGATGTTAAAGGTGCAGGCCTGCCCCCCCATGTACGCCCCTGGCATAAACTATGATTGTTATTAAAATCAAATGAAACTTTAGCACTATACTTTTTTGAATAAATTTCTGTGTAAGATTATTATTTCAATAACATATGTTACAATATTTTAAATATATTTTATGGATAAAGTTATTAATTAATTTCTAACCATACTTCATTTCTTCTATTTGTAATTACATTTGGTCCATCAAATCCAGCAGTCCATAAAGGAACATCAGTTAGTTCAAGTCCCTCATTAAAAGCAAGCTCATAGAGTTCTGCGGCTTGGATAGCAAACTCAATATCACTGGTGGGGAAACCACCAAATCTCTTGGCTGCTACCTTAAATGCTGCTCTTTCCTCAATGTACACTGTAGAGTCTAAAGGAAGAGGAGCGTTTTCTTGCAGATTAGACGGGATAAAGAAGGACATTGTGAAGTTGCTCTCACAGTTAGGTCCCTCTCCTGCAATTATTCTACGGCTAACAGGAGCGGTCATTGGAATTTTCATACCTTCAGAGTTTTGTCCATCGATGTAATCAAAGAGTCTGTAAAAGGCGGCTCTGCTCTCTTCAGAGTCATGAACACTAATACTGAAGACTTCAGTTGAAATCCATTTAGTAGCTGGAAATTCTCTTTCCTCCCAGCCTTGATGCTCCTTTAGGACAGTATAAGGTGCTATTTCTAGATCTGCAGCTGCAGAGCATATGTAAAGAGCAAGAAGAAGAAACATGCTTGATGACATCTTGGATTAGACTGTTAAGCTCAATAATGTACATGATCATTTATACTTGTCTTTTATTGTATAATTTTCTTATTCAAACTCATTGCACAAAATATAATGATAAAGAAAATCTTATAAAATGAGGAGAAGCTTAAACAAACTAAATGTTATCAAAACAACAATGTTAGATAAGTAATAAATTAAGTTTTTAATTATTTAAGGAACATTTAATGTTGTTTATCTTTCAAGATGAACAATCTGAAGTTGAAGGAACTGTTAACAGAGGGAAGGCATACCCAACCGATTTTTGTCTGGACTGCAAATGACATCACAAAATCAACTTTTTGTCCAAACCCACCTTTTTGCATTATTCCTTTGTTCTTAAAAAAGTGATGAATGTGGTTTTCTACCTTTTAGAGATAAGTTGTTTACCTCTTGAAAAAAACATTCTTTGTTATAAAAAAAAATTTCAAATATAGATTTCGGATTTAAAAATTTTCCGTTTTGAATGAAAAACAAGTACGGTGTGCCTTCCCTCTTTTGACTATAAAGAGTACCAAGATTGCCTAATTAATTCATTATGATATTTTAGACTGTCTTAATTTTTCATTATGATTAGTTATCAAACACATTTTATGTAAGATTATTTTTCTCAGCTTATCTTACACAACAGAAAGGTTAAACAAACACAAGTTCTACACAATTCTAAAAGCATACAAAATATTACAGTCTATTCCAAGATGTCATCAAGCATGTTTCTTCTTCTTGCTCTTTTCATATGCTCTGCAGCTGCAGATCTAGAAATAGCACCTTATACTGTCCTAAAGGAGCATCAAGGTTGGGAGGAGAGAGAATTCCCTGCTACAAAATGGATTTCTACTGATGCGTTCTCAATCAATGTTCATTATTCCGAAGAGGGTGGAGCAGCTTTTGACAGGCTTTTCAACTACATTGATGGTCAAAACTCTGAAGGTATGAAAATTCCAATGACCGCTCCTGTTAGTTTTAGAATAATTGCAGGAGAGGGACCTTACTGTGAGAGCAACTTCACAATGTCATTCTTTATCCCGTCTAATCTGCAAGAAAACCCTCCTCTTCCTTTGGACTCTACATTATACATTGAGGAAAGAGCAGCATTTAAGGTAGCAGCCAAGAGATTTGGAGGTCTCCCCACCAGTGATATTGAGTTTGCTATCCAAGCAGCTGAACTCTATGAGCTTGCTTTTAATGAGGGACTTGAACTAACTGATGTTCCCTTATGGACTGCTGTATATGATGGACCTAATGTTATAATAAATAGAAGAAATGAAGTATGGTTAGAAATGAAATAACTTTAAAAACTTTAATTTTCCTGAAATAAAGATATTTAATGTAAGAACTATTTTTAAACAATATTTAATCAATCAATCAATAAGAGAGTTTGTTCATCGTTAAGTAATTTGAAGATAAAAAATTATATAATAAAGCATTTGTTTATTTGTTTTGAAATATTTTCTTCTTTACATCTTTATTAGTAAAGGTGGAATTTTACAGTTGTTTTAAATAATAATCATCTTGATGCACTAAAAAAAAAAAAAAGCTTTTATTGAGAAAGGTTAGTAAGTCTTTCCATGCAGCTCCAAATTTGTTAATTGGCAGAAAATTAATGAGAAATACAAATTGCTTTATTTAATAAAGTGAATAAAGTTACCCAGGGAAGAAGAAGTTTGAAAAACATGATTATCTGCTTAAAAAAGTAGCACTTAATATTGTAAATGTAAATTGTCCAAACTGGCAAAAAAAGGTTTCACTCTCACAGGTAGAAAAACTCGGGTTTGGAAATTAATTTTGATATATTTCATATCCTCATCAGTCCTTAAAGAATGGTGGTATTGTCAAAACTGGAATATTGTAATTTGTAAAAAAATTGAAAATAAAAATCCCCATATTGTAAAAAATATCATTTTATACATCTCCCAAAATTTCTGTCCAATTAGAGTCAGTTAACCAACAACAAAAACAGTTAATTTTGAAATTGTTAACAAATTGAATTAGTAATTTTTTATCTAATATACATTTTGATGTTTAAATGTTGTCTTAAAAATTGTCAAGCTATTTTTAACATGAAATAATCGTTGATGGCTCTTTAAAAGCTGGCCCAGTTTATGATTTCTAAATATCTTCAGTTAATGTTGTATGTAAAATTGAGACTGTTAACAAATGGAAACTTTAAAAAAGAACATAAGAATATAGTTAACAAATGGAACATTCAGTTCTTAGCATTTTTACTTCACTCTGGGCGGTAGTAAATTTGAATTCGAACAGGACCTGCCCAGTTTGTACTGGCCTGCCAGATAACAGCATGTACTGACCCGATCCTATGCGCCTCATCACAACATGGATGACCATATTCTGTACAGTACATCGTTCTAACTAACCAGACTAACATACAACAGGGGTCAATTTTCTTGGCAAAGTCTTGCAGGAGCGCTAACTATGACAACTCCCATGGTGCGTTTGGACTTTTTACAGTACCCGGCCTAATCCTAGGCCTATTTGACCCACCCCCCTGGCTTAGTCCACCGTGACTTAGCTTGTTGTTTTCTAAATCCAAAATGTGGATATCTTATGTATATATAAAAAGGTTAAAAATTGCAAAATCATCTTTACCAGAATTCTTCTAAAAGACAAAGATTTTCATTCCAAAGTATTTAAATAAAATAAAATAAATATATTTACAGAAATAAGCCCTTGCAACTTTGCTAGAAGTGTTGCTTCCAGTGACCCTCCATGCAAAGATGTCAATGCCGGATTTACAAATTAAATATGCATTAAATGTCCATGTTTTTGTTATTTTCTACTGTTTATTTCTTCTGCAAAAGTGGCTTGTGGATTTTTTGCTTTAGAGAAACCATGGAGATAATTTGCATAAAAAAAACTTTCCAGTCAGAGAAATGACAATGTCCTCCACATTTGTTAAGGCTTTAAGGTTACTGTTGTAAATTGGGCATTGCTATCTTTGTATGGAGGGTAAATTGTATTTATGCATACAGTCCTTTTAGAAACAAAAAAACTTTTTTTATGGTATTGACATCTTATGAAAATTTAAGAATGGGTTAGGCATAAAAAATAAATGATTTTGCTTTTTTCTGAAAGTTGCCCACACACATAAATAAATACACACAATTAAGGTGTTTTCATATCCAATATATTTAAAATAACATTTAGAAACTAATTAATTGTTTATCAACTAACAGTCAAAGCTCATTTTTATTATGTTGTAACTATTTATATTTTAAATCTGAAGCATTGATTTCAGATTTGAAAAGCAACCAATCTCATTTTCACAAAGTACTTCTTCATTCTCTATAAGAACTTCATAAACATTCATGTTTTTAAATCTTTTGGCCAGCTGAGATGGTGTTTCACCATCTACATTCCATGCGTTAATATCTCCTTTTAGCTCAAGAATAGTTGTAACCATCTCTTTGGTAGAATATACACTTGCTAGGTGAAGTGGGGTCCATCCTGTTCTATTCCTGGCATTGATATCACCACCTTTTAGTATTAATTGTCTCATAACATTGCTGGTTGAGTATTCACTGGCGGTGTGAACTGGTATCCATCCATTTTTATTTTCTATATTACAATCAGCCCCATAGCTTAGTAGCAGGTCTACTATTTCTTCACGAGAGAATTCACAGGCTAAGTGCAATGGCGTCCAACCTAGCCGCATGATTATATTTTTAAAAAATAAAAATTCAATAATATTTTGATTCTGAATCAAAAGATACTTTGCACAAAAAGATAATTATCTTTGCGTTAAAAACCTAATTAAAAAGTAAAGATTGTAACTAACTCCATAGTTAAGGAAATAAATCCATGAAAAATAAAAAGATTAATGAATAAATTTTCTGCTAATTCTTTAAAGCTTCCATTTGATAGCAGAACTTTTCCAACAATAAATTTAAATTAAGTGGGCCTAACTTTAGATTTACAAAATTTTCATTTAATGGACACAAAGATTTGAGATTGAAATAATGAGTTGTCATTGAATATATTCAGGCCCCAGACCTTCTGAGTTCTGCAGATTAGTTTTAGCTCCTGCTTCCAGTAATGTTGATACTATGCCTGAAGTTAGGGTTTTTAATTTTTTCATGATCAATTTGGCTGAAGGTAAGTTTGGTAAGACATAATTTGTCGATACATTTATACGAAAAAGAATGAAAACCCTTCCTGGAGTTGAGAATTGACAAGCAACATGTAGGGGGGTCCAGCCATCTTTATTCCCTATATTCATATCAAAGGGAATATATTTTGAAGAATCAAAATTGTGAATGCATGGGGGGGCAGGGGGACTAATGAATATTAGGACATCAACTGAGAAGTTTTTATTCTAAAATTCAATAATATTCCCATTAAATCAAATGTTATGTTTTCCATCTTAGTAAAATTTTACTTCTCACAAATGTTAATCTCTAAAATACTTGGAAGGATTTTGAAACGGGGGGGGGGAGGGAATGATTTTTCAACAAAATATATACCCCTGTTGAGATCCCCTCCAAACTTCAGTAGTTCTTGTACCATGTTTTTAGATGAATATTTACAAGCATAGTGTAATGGGGTCCAGCCATCCTGGTTCAAGGGGTTAATATTTCATAATATTAAAAAAAAAAGAATTTTTATATTTTATTTCATATTTCTGACCCTTTACTAAAAGTAAATTCAACCTAAATTCTGACCGTGTCAACCTTGTCACACCGGCTAGTCCTATTGAGTGTCTGCTTTATTTACCCAATGTCTGGGCGACACAGTACAAACTGGGACCAGAAAGGTTGACCCAGCTCGGAATTTAAATGTACTACAGGAAAGTTATAAAATCCTCAATTATATAACTATGATTTCACACAAAAATCTTTTTCTTCCTGCATATAACATAATTTAAGAATAAGTAAAAGCAAAATATATATTTTTTAGTTTGTAACTGATTCCGAAAATTTCAAATATTTTCGGTTTCAATACTGAAGGTAAAAAGCGTTAAATGGCTTTCCCATATTCTGGACACTGACATTCATTTTCCGTGGTTGTAGCAAAATGGGAAAGAAATTCTCAAAGGATGTTTATTTTAATCTTGGATTGAATTAATCAAATTTAACTTCTATAACATTGAGAATACAGTTTTAAAATGTTCAACATTATGTTTTTAAACTACTTATTCTTGAATTTCAGTCAAATCTATGCACAGGGTGTCCCAGGAAACATGACAGCTGGTAAAAAGTTTAAAATGTCTTCTTCCATAGTTTGTTAAAGTTGTTTGAACCCCAAGAGAATAATAAAAAAAATTTCTTGCCATCTATATTATAATAAAATTAATTTCAAAATAAAATATATCTGAGTGTAAGATTTTTTAAACTAAATAAACTGCAAAAAGTCTATAATATCTAATACAGTAAATGGAAGAAGACATTTAAAATTATTCACAAACTGTTTCGTGGGACACCCAGACCCTGCATGTAAATTGCTTTTCTCATACCAAAACTAGCGGGACTACAAAGCTACAAAGTCGTGTGAGAAATGTAGCAAAAATCGAACTGAACTCCTTCTGTCTACATCCATATCATTAAAAATTATTTTGCTTTTCAATTTCTTTATTTTGTTTTATCTTCTATAACTAATAGTAATATAATAAAACAAGACATTTGTATATATGTTGTGTATAGCCGGCCAAACGGCTGGACCGATTGGGGCAACACTGGGCTCTTCAGCTAGTTTCTGAGAAAAAAAGAGTAATAACAAATTTTGAAAATATAAATCCTGCCTGATTTTGAATATTGCTATCAGCATTATCTCTGAGTAGCTGTCTAGTTGTAGAAAGGTTTGATTCACGAGCTGCTAGATGGAGGGGCCTCAACCCTTTAGCCTTAGATTATTTTTTTCAAATAATTTTTTAGAACATGTCAGGTATTTATTTGTTATTTTAAAGATTCATTATAAAATTTCAAAATTTTTTTTTTCTATTTTATTAAATGCAGATTTTATTCACATTCCAGAATTTTTTAAGGGTACTAATCTTCTTGAAAAATAATTCCACCATAAAAACTTTTACCAAATCTTAAAAATATATATTCCCAGTGTTTTTTTTCCAGCTTTCTGAAAGATCACACAGGAAAAAGGAAAGCAATGAATCAAAGAAATTGAGATTTTGCCACAAACTCCGATTTTCTAATCCCTTTATCTTTGCAGCCTGAAGTTGAAGACCTTCATGATATTTCAAACTATAAATTCTGTTAGATCAAGAACTCTAATTTTGAAATGCCAAAGAGTTAACCATCACATTGCCAAAATATTGGGATTATTAAATTGGAATTGAGTCTTTGCCCCAAAATCAAACTTTTAAATCCCTATATCTTTGCAGCATGATGCTTTGATATTTCAAATTTAGATAATTTGATCTAACAGAATTTATATTTTGAAATATCTGAAGTCTGCGACTTTTGGTTGCTGATTTAGGGATCTGAAAATCAGAGTTTGTGGCAAAGACTCAATTCTTTTGTGGCAAAAACTCAATTCCTTTAAAATGAAAAATATTGAAAGCTTACATCTTCTGCTGACACTTTTCCATCCACTTCAGTTACCAGAGGGACTACAAAATATTTATTATAAACTAGACAGAAAATTTTTATTTTTTTAATTTGTAAAAAAAAAATATTTTGTAATTTGACAAGCATTTTGTTAAAGCTTAAGGGCAGAATTTTTGGGATAGTTAAGTTTGTGAGATATGCCCTTAACATAATAAAATTCTATTTTCCAAAAAATGATCTAGAAATGTTTTGGAAGTTCAAAATTACAATCCAAATGTTAGGGTTTTTTTATTCTTACAGTGTGTTGATTAATGGTCTACAAAACCTTTTTTAATAAAAAATATTGGTTCAAAACAAAACGATATTAGATTCTTTAAAAAGATCTTGGAAAACAGATAATAAAAGAATATGCCTTTATGTTTAACACGAACTTCTGTTTCAAAATGAATAAAATAAAAAAATTGTTTGAGGAGAATTCTTTACCTCTTTCAGCAAATTCTGTTTTCATAGTATCCATTTTTTCACTAGGAAAACAAAAGATTTTAGAAATTAATAATTTTCAAATCATCAGAAACAGTTGATTAGCTAAACAGAAAACAAGGTATGTTGTCTAACATATTTTGTATTATTAAGAAATATTTAAAGATTTGTAATATTGTCAACCATTAACTATAAGATCTCTCCGTCCATCCATGTAATGTCATCTTTAACTTAAAATCCCCTCTCGGAGACACCAAACCAAACAATTTTAGCCTCGTTTTCTTTGTTCTCCGGTAGCGGAGTCTAAACACTTTTATTAATGTGAACCCATTTCAAAAGTTAAGCAGAGAATATTTTCATATAAAGAATTAGCAACTTTCGTTAATAATTAATTGTCATTCTTTTCAGAAGTTTTAATATATAAAAACGTCTTTTTTAACCTACAGATCCTGAAATAGATCGTAAGAATCTTTTCATTATAAAAATTGTAATATTTTAAATGTTATTATCCATTTCATTTTTTAGGAAATAAAGAGTTTTTCTGCATTATCGGTTTTGATTTGAGGGTTATTCCGTTGTCTATCTGTTCATTATTGAGAACCTTGCAGCTATCCGACAACAAATTTATATTTTTTAAAACTGTACGCCAGAATGTATAAAACGTATAAAACTAAACAAGGCTAATTTTTACAAATAAATCAATTACAAATTACAAACCTTTTCAGCCAGATTCCATAATACAGGGATAATCAGAAATAATAATAGGAGGACAACATTGTTGACTTTAAAAGTCACTATAATAAAACAAAGATATCTGAAAAGGATATTTCTAACATTTATTTAAAAAACGAAAGTTTTGAAATATTTGCCCATGGCTGAGTAAAATTGGTTGGTTAAAAATGAACAAAGAAAACTATTGACGAACATCAGTTGGAACATATTTGCAGAACTTCATGATGGTGGTGCTGATCATCAGGAACTGGAACAACAGGTTTCCCCTCACTCCAGGCTTTGGATAAGGAGGGGGAGAGATCACGGTCTTGTCAGTTTCGAATATGAGGGAATGCGTCTCAATGTTCGCCTGATAATTTTGGAACTCTTGGAACAATATTGAGCTGGATGTAAGCATCGTCTTTTGATGGCTAGGTATCTGCATCATCACCATGAAGGAGCCAGGGTTGCTCCCTGAGACAGGGTTGTGATCATCTCTAGTGTTTCAATCTGACTGCCGGGCTGGGATGTGTAGAGGGGTGAGGAGGGAACGAAGAAGCGAGGGTGACATGTGGGTGCTTCATGGCCGGACATAGATACACACGTCTTGAGAAAAGTCTACGGCATCTGAGTCGGTAAAATCGTCTTCCTTATATTTCGAATTTGTGTTAACAGACATTTAAAGTTGTTACATAGCAAATAGCTTTCTCTAGTAAATCACATATCAAGCGATATATGTCTGTTTACAATTTAAAATTGCTGGGCCTCATGTGTATTGGACTAAGGAAAGTTGAGTCTAAAAGTCCACATCCTATTCCACAGTTTTCTGGCTATCACTGTAAAATGAAAGAAAAAAGACAATATTTATTTCACAGTTTTTTGTTTATTGCAATTGTATGCAGAGTGAAGTTTTATGTTTTCTACTTATTACAATTGTATGCAGAGTAAAGTTTTATGTTTTCTGTTTATTACAATTGTATGTAGAGTGAAGTTTTGTGTTTTCTGTTAATTACAATTGTATGTAGAGTGAAGTTTCATGTTTTCTGTTTATTACAATTGTATGTAGAGTGAAGTTTTGTGTTTTCTGTTTTTTACAATTGTATGTAGAGGGAAGTTTTGTGTTTTCTGTTTATTACAATTGTAAGTAGAGTGAAGTTTTATGTTTTCTGTTTGGAAAATTGGAGTTTAAGGAATTGAGTTTTTGGGTTAAAGCTTAGATAAGTTGATATGAGGGAATTTATAGTTTGAAATATATTTGGTCTACGATATATGGGTTGCAAAGATGTTGGTATTTAAAATTCAGAGTTTGTTGCAAAGAATCTTAACTTTTTTATTAAATTCATAATCCATATTTCTTTTTAACCTCATGATTTTAACACTTGATGTTACTTCAGAGTTAATATATAGATATATCAAAAGTCTAAGAACAGTTACGATTAGAACATTTTTTGTAAATCTTTTATTTATAATTCACAACAAGAGAAAATTGAAGATTAAAATAATTAAGATTAGGAAAAAACGAAAAGCTTTTTTGATACAAATTTGCAATACCTGTAATCTACTGTGGAAATAGGTGAACCATATAAAAAATTATTCCTTATTTGCTTCTCTTTTTCTCTTCTTTTCTCCAATGTATCATGCATTAATAATAATAATAATAAAAATAATATTAATAATAATGATAATAATAATAATGATAATAATGATGATAATAATAATAATTGCGATGATTGATAATTATGATGATTTTTAATGATTAATGATTAAGACACTCTAAATTTCTAAATCAAATCAAATTATTTGGCACCAAAAGTTTACAATAACTAATAAGATGAATTTAAATTATTTAAATTAATTAATCAATTAATCAAAATTTTAAATTTTAAATGCAGGGTTCTTAAGCTTGAAGAAAATTTTGCTCAAATTTGCTTTAATATAAATTGTGCCAAAAGCAATGCGCAATTAAAGTTCCCAAAAATTTGCACAAACTATGCACACATATTGCGCAAACAACTTTTTACTTTTTTGAGCATTGCGAATATTAATGGCTAGTGTTGCATGACGTTGACACTGAATTTGTGCACGAAATTTGCGTCAAATTATTCTTCACTCAGATTTTCGCGAAATTTCGCACAAAATACGAAATGTTTTACAACTTTTTCTCACAAAGGAAACGCAAAAAATTGGAATTTAGATCGTGAATAAAAATTGCATGCAAATATTTTTTCATTCTACTGGAAATATGTATATGTATATATTACAAAATTAATTTTTAACAATTTTCACAAAAGAAAATACATACTAATTATATTAGCTCATTTTCTTATCGCGCAAAGATATGAACCAGGGGCATACGAAATATTACAAGTGTTAATAAATTATTTATGTAATTTTATCAAGTGGACTCATCAGACAATCTCTCTTAATACTGTGGTGTAAGCTTCAAGGGATGAAAAATAGAGATGGAAACGTTTCTTTAAAAAATTCTATATTTTCATAAGATTGATATTGTATTATAAGTATCAAATACAGTGAAACCCTTAAGAACGAATACATCGGAAGAATTTATCAAATGTTGTCTTGACAATTTTTCATTGGGTTTTATACTATATTACGTAAATTTCAGTATTTGCGAAAATAAATAATAGCCATGAATATGCAGGAACAGTGTTAAACAGCTCAATATGATCTTTTAATTAAAAAAACTAAATATCTGCAACATTCCATTATCAGAAAGTGAAGAATACGACATTTGATGAATTCTTTCGACGTTTTAATTATTAAGGGTTTCACTGTATATATATACACTGAAGGCAGTATATTGATTAAAGCTTTTTAGTTAAGGGCAAAAGTGAGATTATAAAGTATTTTTTTATCATATATAATTTAAGTATATTTAAATGGGATACATGCGTGATTTCAAGTGACCCTCCAATTAAAGAGTGGTAGGTCCGGCACGGTACATTAAATTTCATTTCATGTACCAGGCCAAATTTCAACTAGCCAGGTCATGCAGTACAATACAAATACAGACGATATTAGGTAAAAAAGAACTGTTCGCCAGATGAATGATCCCCTTCTAGTGGAATGTACCTTTGAAACATTCATGAGTCACTTTTGTAGAAAAACCACAAATAAAAATTATCAGTTTTCAAAATAGGAAACATGGATATTTAATGCAATACTTGATCAGACAAAGCTTTGAAGGGTATTGTTGTGAATCAGAATATAATTTATTTCTTTTCTTAATCTTTTAGTTTGGGTGAATTCAATGCAATGTAGAATCTAGATTGCCTAAGGAAGGGAAATACAAGCAGATGTAATATTAAATGAGGCCCCCATGCGTGCCACCCCCCCCCCCCTCGTACGCCCCTGATGAACTAACATAATCTCATTGGTAAAATATTCAAAGTTTTTCCTACAGTGTAACCCATAAATATGTTTACAATGTAAGGCATTCTTATAATGTCGTCTTGTAAAATATTTCTTGGTTCATGCCATTGCAAATTTTATGATCATAGTATATAATAAGCATTTTTCTGTAATTGTACTAAAGCTGTCGTTCCTTATCTCACATTGAGATTGGCATCTGAAGCTGTCGTTCATTATCTCACATAGAGATTGGCATCTGAAGCTGTCGTTCATTATCTCACATAGAGATTGGCATCTGAAGCTGTCGTTCATTATCTCACAAAGAGAGGGGCATCTGAAGCTGTCGTTGATTATCTCACATAGAGATGGACATCTGAAGCTGTCGTTCATTATCTCACATAGAGATGGACATCTGAAGCTGTCGTTCATTATCTCACATATAGATGGGCATCTGAAGCTGTCGTTCTTTATCTCAAATAGAGATGGGCATCTGAAGCTGTCGTTCATTATCTCACATAGAGATGAGCATCTGAAGCTGCCGTTCATTATCTCACATAGAGATGGGCATCTGAAGCTGTCGTTCTTTATCTCACATAGAGATGGGCATCTGAAACTGTCGTTCTTTATCTCAAATAGAGATGGGCATCTGAAGCTGTCGTTCATTATCTCACATAGAGATGGGCATCTGAAGCTGTGGTTCATTATCTCACATAGAAATGAACATCTGAAGCTGTCGTTCATTATCTCACATAGAGATGGGCATCTGAAGCTGTCGTCCATTATCTCACATAGAAATGAACAACTGAAATGTCGTTCATTATCTCACATAGAGATGGGCATCTGAAGCTGTCGTTCAATATCTCACATAGAAATGAACATATGAAGCTGTCGTTAATTATCTCACATAGAGATGGGCATCTAAAGCTGTCGTATCCTCTATCTCAAATAGAGATGGGCATCTGAAGCTGTCGTTCATTATCTCACATAGAGATGGGCATCTGAAGCTGCCGTTTATTATCTCACATAGAGATGAACATCTGAAGCTGTCGTGTTCTCTATCTCACATAGAGATGGGCATCTGAAGTTGTCGTGTTCTCTATCTCACATAGAGATGGGCATCTGAAGTTGTCGTGTTCTCTATCTCACATAGAGATGGGCATCTGAAGCTGTCGTGTTCTCTATCTCACATAGAGATGGGCATCTGAAGTTTTCGTGTTTTCTATCTCACATAGAGATGGGCATCTGAAGTTGTCGTGTTCTCTATCTCACATAGAGATGGGCATCTGAAGTTGTCGTGTTCTCTATTTCACATAGAGATGGGCATCTGAAGCTGTCGTTCATTATCTCACATAGAGATTGGCATCTGAAGCTGTCGTTCATTATCTCAAATAGAGATGAGCATCTGAAACTGTCGTTCATTATCTCATAGAGAGATGGGCATCTGAAACTGACGTTCATTATCTCACATAGAGATTGGCATCTGAAGCTGTCGTTCATTATCTCACATAAAAACGAACATCTGAAGCTGTCGTTCATTATCTCACATAGAGATGGGCATCTGAAGCTTTCGTATCCTCTATCTCAAATAGAGATGGGCATCTGAAGCTGTCGTTCATTATCTCACATAGAGATGGGCATCTGAAGCTGCCGTTCATTATCTCACATAGAGATGGGCATTTGAAGGTGTCGTGTTCTCTATCTCACATAGAGATGGGCATCTGAAGCTGTCGTGTTCTCTATCTCACATAGAGATGAGCATCTGAAACTGTCGTTCATTATCTCACATAGAGATGGGCATCTGAAGTTGTCGTGTTCTCTATCTCACACAGAAATGGGCATCTGAAGTTGTTGTGTTATCTATCTCACATAGAGATGGGCATCTGAAGTTGTCGTGTTCTCTATCTCACATAGAGATGGGCATCTGAAGTTGTTGTGTTCTCTATCTCACATAGAGATGGACATCTGAAGTTGTCGTGTTCTCTATCCCACATAGAGATGAGCATCTGAATCTGTCGTGTTCTCTATCTCACATAGAGACGGGCATCTGAAGCTTTCGTTCATTATCTCACATAGAGATGTGCATCTGAAGCTGCCGTTCATTATCTCACATAGAGATGGGCATCTGAAGCTGTCGTGTTCTCTATCTCACATAGAGATGGGCATCTGAAGTTGTTGTGTTCTCTATCTCACATAGAGATGAGCATCTGAAGTTATCGTGTTCTCTATCTCACATAGAGATGGGCATCTGAAGTTGTCGTGTTCTCTATCTCACATAGAGATGGGTATCGGTTTTTGAACAAAAAAATTAAGAAAGTGCAAAAATGGTGTTGTTCAGAAAAAAACGAATGATGGACGAACAACTTGGATCAATCGGGAAATGAAAAAAATAATAGATTTTAAAAGGAATGAAAAAAAATATTTTAAAATCGTTTTATTGATTTTGTTTTTAATTTTACAGAACAAATTTTACGAATGATTTTGAAAAAAATGATCATTTGTACACTAAACGAACCATTTTTCTGAAAAAAAAACGATAAAAATACTTAAATTTTTTACTGGAGGAACGTATTTATTTTACTGAATAAATGATTTGACTGAAAACGAACGAAAAAGAAGGGAAATGAACGCTAATTTTGAGAATGAACGAAACAAATTTGTTTTTAAAAATTGCAAAAAACTAACGTAATGGGTTGTACACGAACGATAAATAAACAACTTTAACGCGTCACAATTAGTTTATAGAAAAAAAACTACAAATTATTTTATTTTTGAATAATAGATAGATAGATAGCCCTTAAATTTACATTTGAACAAATAATGTTCACAGTATTAAAATTTTTTTTAAAAAACACATTACATAATTATCAAAAATGGGGTAATTTTTAATGAAGCTTAATTATAATTTATGCTTAATATATCTAATAATATTTAATATAATAATTATTTACAAAAAATATTTTTGACCTTGTTTTTGAGTATAAGAACACATCGTTGTTGCTTTCGACTTAATCAATAGTTGTCTCTCAGTGGAATATTCTAATACCATTTCTCCAAATCTGAAATATCTTTTAGGAATTGAAATTATTCTACAGAAACATAATTTTGTTTCCTGACAAATGTCAGCAAAGATCACAAGTTTACTTCGTTTCTGTGTACTGTTTAAGTGAAACCAACCATATTTGAGCCACGGCCTAAATTTAAGCTGTGGCTCAAATTCTTTAAATTCGGCCTCTATGTACTTTGTTTCTAGATATATATATATATAAATCTATACTTGCCAGATATTTTAGAATTTATTCATTTTCAAGATGAGAACGTTTGAAAAACAGATAATTAATTGAGAATTATTATTATTATTATTATTATTATTATTATTATTATCATCATTAATAATTTCATAATTACTATGAAATAGATAATTAGATAGATAGAATTCATCAAGGTACTAATGCAACGAAAGTTAACGTATACTCTGCGTACATATTAAAACCAGTTCTCTCTGGGCGGAATTAGTAAACAAGAATAGATGCATCCGTGTTCGTCTGTATCCGAAAAGAATAAAAACATTTAATTTTAATAATTTTGACAATTCACATAATAGTTTCCTAAGACCAGAATATTTCATAGATTATTTTGTGAAAATGGATTCCATGTCAGGCTTCGACATCCGTCTTGTGTTTACTTTTCCGCCCAAAGACAGTACACTGCAGTACAAAAAATGCGTACACCTCTGAAAAAACTTTCCTTGCATTAGTACCTTGGAATTCATGAATAGAATAGATTTTAAAAAAATCTGCTTGTGATCGTATTTAACCCTATATTTTGCTATTTCTATTGCTATTGCTAATCAGGATTACAAGCTTATAACATACAAAATACAGATCATAAGTTTCGGAAGTAAAGGATAAATATATTAGATGTCTAAAAAACGAGGAATAAAGGTCTACAGACTCGTTTGTAATCGGATTTTCAAGATTAAGACCATTTTTTAAAATCTACGTACAATTTCAAATTCCATGAGCCCGATTTTAGGCAATTTTAGTGGCAATTTTAAAGGCTCCAAAAGTTTCCAATTGGAGAGAGTTTATTTGGTAAAAGTAAAGATAATCTCCGTTTGCACGCAAGGGTCTATGCAGACTTGTTTGTAATCTGATTTTCAAGATTGAGACAGTTTTTAAATCTACGTACAATTTCAGATTCGATGAGACCGATTTTAGGCATGGAGATCTAAAAATGGCAAAGGGCTCCTAAAGTTTCCAACTGTAACCTAATATTGAATATAAAATTGTGCAAATGAAGATTATCTTTTTTTTACTTCGCTCCAGTTGGAAACTTTAGGAGCTTTTAAAATTGTTATATTTAGATCTACAAGCTTAAAATTGGACTCATTTATTCGGAAATTGTTGTGGATTTGAAAAATGGACACAATCTTGAAAATCCGATTACAAGCATAGAATGTAAGATTATTATGCAAACGGTGATTATATTATTTCTATAAATTACTCAAACTGCAGTTGAAAAATTAAGGAGGTTGTAAACTGTTTGGTTTAGATTTACAAGCCTAAATTTGGCTTATTGTATCGGAAATTACAGGGTGTCCCACGAAACATGAAAATAGAACTAAGAACTTTGAAATAATTTGCGGCCTTGTCTCGTAATTTTTTTAGGATTAAAATTCTAGAATTAATAATAAAAAAACCTTCTCTTGGCATTTCCAAAATGTGGTCTGCATTTTTTGTGGTTTCAATATTACCGGAGACATGAAGAATTTCCTCCTAATTTCGACAATTTTGGTTTTTTTTAATAAAAGTTAAATATTAACAAAATTCATAATATATAACAAAAAAGGCAGACCACATGTTGGAAACAGCAGGACTAGGCGAGTTTTGTGATTATTTTTTCAGGAATCATACATGTAATAGAAGGTTGACGACTGAATGTCACAAATGAATTCAAAGTTTAAAGACGACTTTCAGTTCGTCTTGCTAATGTCATGTTTCGTGGGACACCCTGCACGTTCAAAGATTTTAAAAATTAAAATTTTTATTTTTACTTGTATATATTTTAAATTTCTGATGTATAAAGTGCCATTATTTGCATAGTTATGCATAAAAAAAAAACAATGATACATAACCAATCTGTTTAACTTAAGAAGACGCCTTGTATTGTAGAGCTTTGATATTTATTGCCACTCGTTTCTACCTGAAAAAGTGTTCAACTTTGTTTAAGAAGATAATACTAAGCAAAGTCTACCACATATGAATAATTATAAACCCATTCATTTTAAAAAGGAAATCATATGACTTTCTGACAAATTCTAGTGAAAAGTAAGAGAAACAAGAGAAATAGCTTCATCATGCGGTGAAAAATTGAACTTTCAGACTACAGTAAAGGTAAGGGAAAGTGAACGATGGTTAAAAACCTTCCTTAGGTTGAGTTGTGCGCCTGCGCAGGCGAATGTAATCCTAGGTTCTGCCTGGAAGCAACACTAAGAGTTGGCCTGGATTCAATATATACGCATTTTACAATATTTCACAATTCCAATGTTTGGTTCTGCATGGTAACAATACAACAGAGTTCATGTTATACTTAATGTTTACAATCAGCAAAAAATGATGTAATGAAATTAAAAAAAAGAATTTATTTTCTTTTCAGTAATTTATTTTTATTAATTAATAAACAATTTACAGCCGGCCTCCCCCGGCCCAAACTCTCTCCTCTACATTAACCAAGTACAATATCCTTATATGAAAAAATAATAAAAATCATAGTAAATTGTTAATAAGAATGTATAAAGTAATAATCATCAAAATAATTACAGAAATATGTATGATAATGTTTATAATAATAATGGTAATAACATAATAATGACAAGAAACCCAACAGCAACACAAATTAAAATACACTTGTGAATGATTTCAGAAATTAGCTTATTTTTACCAGTTTAAAGTTGTTCATCTAATTCTAGAGAGGAAAAATCGGAATTCTCCAAAAATAAACATTAAACACTTTTTTTCCCGGGCACAAATGGTGGACATGTTAGCAATTCATATTGTAACAAACCTTATAATGTTCTTCAGAATTGATCTGCATAATTTACTGATATATATACACAACTATTTCCATCACATTATTATAGAACTGTTTGTAAAAAATAAAATAATTATTTTTATGAATACCGAAATCTAATGTATAAATAGTAGTTAGAAATTAATTACAAAATAATATTTAGATACATCTAGCGGTGAAATATGGAACTTTCATGATAACATGGTTGGACGGTAAAGTGAACCAGGTTAATGTGTGTCTCTGTGGGTGTCTGGATAGTATATAACCTATTACAGTTTATTTTAAAAAAAATCTTCTCAAAACGCTTAGAATTAAACTTAAAACTAAAACTTAAAAATATCAATTTTTTTTTTTTTGCAGATTTCTATACTTTATTTGTGTAATCAAAATAGAAGAGGGGGGGGGAGGGAATGTCAATAAAAAAATGGCGAAGTGTAAGATTTCTTTATCATTTAGTTTGTTTTCATAAACTCGCTTTTGTTTTTAATTTATGGTAAAGACTGATTGCAATTGAATTGAAATGCGATTTTAAAATATCATAAAATGGGCGTATAATTATACCCTGGCACACTGCCTGTGTGCTACCAGGTAGAACCTATATTTCAGGCATATACGCTCACATCTCATCTAACAACCTTGGATGTGCGCATGCGCCTTATTAACTAAACTATCTCACAGTTATACAAAGGTTGGAATCTTTCAAGCTAAAATCGTTGAAAATTTTATCAATAAAATCGTAAATAGTAAACCTAAAGACTTACAGCTTTACTTTTATAAAAGTTACATGTCTAGGGCGACAAAAAAAATATTAGCCTTTGAGAAAATGCACAACTTTAGCATGTGGCGATAACCAAAAAAGTCTAAAAGTCCTATTTCAGGGTTTTCTGATTATTCTTTTGTTTAACGCAATGATGCGCTAAATTTATATTATTATTCTGATATTTATTAAAACAGAGAAAAGCTGGAAAAATATATTTGTTTTAATACGGGTGATAAGTTTATCAGCACTACAGTTTTGCGCGCTAATATATATTGCGCTTAATTTATCCCTGGAAGACGACTTTCCTGGGTCATTATTATATTGGATTTTTATACCTTAATTAAGATCACAAACCCACGCAAATTAACAAAACAAACAATTAAGAAACTGGACAATACATGTTCTTTTAAAATAAACTTAGAATTATTTCCGCACAAAAAATCCACAAAAATCCACACAGAAAATACACAATTACACCACACAGAAAATACACAAAACAACACACAGAAAATACGCAATTACACCACAAGAAAATACATAAAACACCACAAAGAAAATACACGAAACACCACATAAAAAATACACAAAACACCACATAGAAAATACACAAAACACCGCATAGAAAATACACGAAACACCACATAGAAAATACACAAAACACCACACAGAAAATACACGAAACACCACACAGAAAATACACAAAACAACGCACAGAAAATACACGAAGCAACAGGAACAAAATACTCGAAGTTGTGTGCAGTTTACACACATTGCGTGTCACACAAGTCAACTCACATACTCGTATTCTGCTTATAAGTCACAAACTAGGCTGTAGTGGGCTTAGTAAGACTGTTATCTAATGTTTTAAAGCTGGGAAATTTTCCTAACTTTTCTCTCTATACATCTAGATACATTCTACATATGCATACTATTACTAAGCCAGTATAGGGCACATGTTCATTACTGAGCATGCGCAGTAGAACATGTTTAGAAACAAGAAAACTTTGAAAACAAAAGAGAATGAAATAAAAATCAATAATAATTCTTTAACGATGCAGTATTTATAATTTTTCTTCACTTGTAAAGAAACCAGGGGAGTAGATAAGGATTCAGTAGGGNGTATTTATCCCCAGGATTCTAGGGGGGTGTAAATAACCCCTATAACCCCCCTTATCTACGCCACTGAAAGAAACATAGTCGAAATCAAGAAACATTTTGGCTTTCATTGTCTGTATAATAAAACAAGACATTGTATATATATATGTATGTTGCCTAG